TGGCTGCAGAGCTACCAGAACTAAATATAAAATACTCTAGAATAACAGCAGGAATTCGAACAGCAGACGGGCAATCCCAACCGATAAGTGGTCGGCTAACTACAGAAGTGTCCTTCCGGGGCGAAAAGAAAACACTAACCTTCTATATAGTACCATCCATAGCAGGAGATTTGTATCTAGGAATAGATTTTTGGAAGCATTTCCAGTTATTACCCGAAGCCTTCCGGGGCAACAATCCAATAGTGGCAGCATTAGAAGAGTCAATATCTCGTGAGCTCTTGCCTGACCAGCAGCAAGCGCTACTTCGTGCAATTAAGCTTTTCCCGTCGTACGCGGCGAAAGGTCTGGGAAGGACCCAACTACTCTCACACTCCATTGATGTGGCTCAAGCAAAACCCATAAAACAAAGGCACTATGCGGTATCTCCGGCAACGGAAAAACTTATGTATGCGGAACTGGATAGGATGCTAGAGCTAGGTGTAATAGAGGAGTCGTCCAGCGCTTGGTCCTCACCAGTAGTTCTGGTCCAGAAACCTGGCAAAGTAAGGCTGTGTATTGATAGCCGAAAGCTGAATGAAGTGACGGTTAAAGACGCATATCCAATGCCACTTATTAATGGAATTTTAGGTAGGCTCCCAAAAGCAGAATTCATAACTAGTTTGGATCTAAAAGACGCCTTTTGGCAGATCCCGCTAGATGCTAATTCAAGGGACAAAACAGCATTCACAGTGCCGGGAAGACCCCTCTATCATTTTGTTGTTATGCCCTTTGGGCTATCTAATTCTCCCCAGACTATGTGTAGGCTAATGGATAAGGTGATCCCAGCGTCTCTAAGGAACGAGGTGTTTGTGTACTTAGACGACTTACTAATAGTCTCAGATACTTTTGAAAGACATATAGAAGTTCTGAAAGAGGTTGCGTCTCACCTTCAAAATGCCAAATTGACCATAAACGTAGAAAAAAGTAATTTTTGCATCAAGGAGGTTAAATACTTGGGACATGTGATTGGCCATGGAACCGTAGGCACAGACCCAGATAAAATATCCGCGATTCTTGAGTTCCCTAGCCCTCGCTCCATGAAACAGGTTCGCCGTTTCTTAGGAATGACGGGTTGGTATAATAAATTCATAAAAAACTTTGCCGCGTTAGCTTCTCCAATTACCGATACGCTCAGAAACAGAAAGAAATTTGTTTGGACTGAGGAAGCTCAACGAGCTTTTGAAATCTTGAAAGAACACATGTGTACGGCCCCTGTGTTGCATAGCCCAAATTTTGACGCTCCATTTTCCATCCATTGTGATGCAAGCAACACTGGAGTGGGCGCGGTTCTAATGCAGGACGACGCCGAGGGAAACGAAGTTCCAATCTCCTTTATGTCCAAGAAACTAAACAAATGTCAATCAAATTACACAGTCACAGAAAAGGAGTGTTTGGCAGCTGTTTTGGCGGTAAAAAAATTCAGGGCATATGTGGAGGGACAAGAGTTCACAATTATTACCGATCACGCGTCCTTAAAGTGGCTAATGTCCCAGGGAGACCTCAGTTCTCGTCTTGCACGATGGTCCTTAAAATTGCAGGGATTTAAGTTCAAAATCAGCCATAGAAAAGGAAGTCAAAATGTAGTACCAGACGCCTTGTCAAGGACTTTTACGGAAGACCTTTCGGGCTTGGAAATATCTAGTTTAGTGGATATGGATGCCAGTGAGTTTAAAGGGAAAAATTACGAAGATCTAAAAGCAGCTATTTCCACAGGAGTACAACAATTAGGTGAGGTTAAGGTCAGCAACGGATTTGTTTATCGTCGCGCTGAGCACGCTGCAGACGAGAAAGTGGCAGATGAATCCTGTTGGAAGCTGTGGCTGCCTAAAGAGCTAGTTCCAGATTTGTTAAAAAAAACGCATGAAGATCCCTTAGCAGCACACTGTGGCATAGCCAAAATGTTAGAAAACTTGAGAAGATATTTCTATTGGCCAAATTTAGCGGTAGATGTAAAAGATTTTGTCAATAGGTGCGAAGTGTGCAAGACAACAAAGCATCCCAGTCAGACTTTGAGACCAGCCTTGGGAAATACTGGCCAATCTGAAAGGATTTTTCAAAGGCTCTACGTTGACTTTTTAGGGCCGTATCCGCGTAGCTCGGAAGGGCATATAGGGCTTTTTATTGTAGTCGATCATGCTTCAAAGTTTCCCTTTCTGAAAGCCGTAAAGAAATTTACCACAGAGGCTATTCTTCCATTCCTTGAAAAAGAAATCTTCCATTGTTTTGGCGTACCGGAAACTATTATTTCCGATAATGGAGTGCAGTTCAAATCAGTGGCGTTCAACGCTTTACTTGAGAGATATGGGATCGCACACTCCTATACGGCGATTTACGCTCCACAAGCCAACGCCTCAGAAAGGGTCAATAGATCGGTGTTAGCTGCCATCAAGGCGTACATAGATCCGAGTCAAAAGAACTGGGATAGTAAACTTAGTAGCATCTGTTGCGCGTTGAGGTCAAGTTTTCATTCGGCCATAAAAACGACACCGTACAGAATGGTTTTTGGGCAGCACATGGTAGTAGATGGAAAATCATATAAAATCATTAGGGAGCTAGGATTGCTAGAGGATAGAAATGTACAGTTCAGTAAGGATGACTCGCGAGACATAATAAGGCGTACGGCTCAGGATTCGATGGAAGCCCAAAGGGAAAGGAATGAAAGGGCTTATAACTTGCGGAGCCGAATTGTGTCTTACAGACCGGGTCAAGAGGTCTTTCGCCGGAACTTCCAGCAAAGCAACTTCGCAAAGGGTTTTAGCTCAAAGCTAGCACCGGTTTTTATAAAGTCTAGGATCCGAAAAAAACTGGGTTTGGCCTATTATGAAATTGAGGACCTCCAGGGAAGGTTAATTGGCAAATACCACGCGAAAGACTTGCGACAATAAGACAAGCTGGGATCTCCCTTGTGTCGATAGCTCACCCCAAGTGAGATTTTGGTGGGGGGGAACTGTAGGATTGCTTGTCTTTTGGCTAAGATTGCTTTCGGCCCAAAAGTAGGCAACAGAGTTTGGTCTACATGGTTTAGTAGAAAATATAGTCTCTTGAGCCAGAACTCCCAAAACTTCACCAAATTGGTGAGTAGGCTTGAGCGACAGGTCGGACTCAGGGTCCCGACCCGAAGTCAATTTCGTTTGGAGTCACACCAAAATTACCAGTGGATCGAAGAAGAAGTTAGTTGCAAGTGCAAAGATCAAAGTTACACAAATTAAAGGAAATCCATAATTTCCAAAATTCCCGGCAATCGCCGTTGCAAGTGGCTTAAAAACCAAAAAAACACAAGTGCTAAAGTGCCAACCCCTAGTGGGTAAGTTTTTTGAGTGCGAGAAGTTGATAAAGTGGTGTTTGAACGCCCTAATGTTTTTAGGTGGCACCTAATTACATAACCCCGGTCCGCCAAAAGCCAGGCTTGGGCGTATGAGGCGTCTGCAGAACGAAAGGCCAACCGGAAGCAATCTCAAAATCGCAAAAGGCCAACCGATCAATCAGCACCAGCAGCAGCAGCAGAATCCGAGATCCCTCAGCAGCAACCAAAGCGCCGAGAATTTGATATTTATATTTATATTATCTACATATTTATTCTACTTTCTACATCAACGTTTATATGTTGTAGAGTAGCCCAGTAGCCAGCGAAATTTAGGCTAGGGTCCATTTACCGGCAATACCGTCCGTAAGCCGTAGGGAAATATAGCCCAAGAAAAAAAAAATGAATTAATCAACCCCTCAAATACAAAATCATTTCGAATTACATTTAAAACTTAAAGTTTCGAATTTTACGCGTCATTATACGCAACTAGAAGCAGATTGAAGCTGAATTTTAGTTTAAGTAATTTAAGAGAATAGTTATAATCAAGAGAGAAGGTCAATAACAGGAAAATATGCATTAGAGCTGAGCAGTCCCGTCTTCCCATGTACGTTTCCCTTCCCTCTCCCATGTCTTAACGGCAGAGTACCGTACCGCTGTAGAGTACGAGTAAGGCAAGTGAGAGTAACGCTAGCGATCTCTTATGTAGTTGAGGTTCTCTTTCACAGGCCCCCTTCGAGAAGCGCTTCTTCGTGGGAAAACAAAGTGAGTCGATTTAATGTCATAAGAATCTCAACTACCCTTTTTAAATAAAACAAAAGTCTAAAGAGAAAATTTAACTTGTTACAAAATTTAAAATTCACCCCTTCTAAATGCCGTACTAAAAAAAAAAAAAAAAAAAAAAAAAAATGAAAGAAACTCCAAATTCCAAAATTTTTCTCCCATAAAACCCTACCCAACTCCCTGCTCAATAAAATAAAATTTTAAGTCTCACATATAATGGCATAATTTTACATGCCTACACCCATTATACCCGCTCTCTACATTTGTATTATTTCATGTAAAAGCTAGATGGTATATACATGAGCACTGAAATATTCAGCGATCGCTAAATTTAATTTTTATTCATTAAATTCGCATTTTTAAGTTCAATCTATATGTTAATCACTTCTTAGGATCCTAATGCTCTTGTTTAGAATTAATTTTTGTCAGTTAATAGGATTATTCTATGGTTAAAAATAAAATTTATAATGTCATCTAAAGTTGAGTAGAGTCAATAGGGAAGCCATGCGTCGTCGAATGTTATCTGTCGTGTAAAGTGTAGTCGCCTTTTTGGGATCGCCATATATATCTGGTCGATGGTGATCATGGTAGGGAGGGCACGTCAGCACAAACAACCGCTGGCATAAAGGCACTACATCCTTGTTCGTCCTTGTCTGTCCTTTGCTAGTCAATAGTCCGGTCCATTAGTCCTGCGGAGATCCTCGTACCCTTTAGCACGCGAAGTAATAAGATTTTGTTGTTTGTCTATAGAGCAAGTAGCAGCGTTCCTAAAACCTATCCCCGACCCCCCTCTACTGGTAACTCATGCCGGAACCAGCGCGTGCTCAACGTAGGCTACAAATTACACCAGCTCTCGAAACGTAGTTCGCTACAATATATTATCTGACTTTATCTCAATCTGTAGCTGTAACTGCAACTGTGTCTATGTTTAGCTGTGTGTATCTGAATGAATGGACGGAAAGGTTCAACTCAATATCCGTAGCCATGAGTGAAAGCAAAAAGAACGAGCACTAAACAACTGGATAGGAACAATAGCTAGGTGTTTTACAATCCATAATACATAGTTATCCCTCTGCCCTCTGACCTATGATAATCCTAAATGTACATATAAAAGTTAACTGCTCCCATCCATCATCTGTCTGCAGGCCAGTGATATGTTTGCTTCTCCCCAGGAATGCATTGCAAAATGTTGCCCAAAAGAATGCCAAAAATATCTCAAATTAACATGCAGTAAATTGCAAACTATTTTTGGTTTTCCGTTACACTTTTCCACTTTTCCACCTTCCGTTTTCCATCTATGCTAATGTACGTGTACGTGTTTCTTTGGCAAGCAGGTAACGATTTTTACAGCTCACACTATTAACTTGAAGGTACTTGATGCGTTTTCGAGGCAAGTTGATTGGAACCAAGGCGACGAAAAGGATTCTAAACCGACTCTAAAAGCGCGACAAAGTGAAGCCAGGGGATCTACAACAAAATCGCGATATAGTATATTCATATAGAGAGAGATAGTTTGTTTTCCTTTGCTCTAAGTTAAATTATACGATACTTTCTGCCTCAAATGTGTAAATGGATATTTTCCTCATCGCCGACGACAAAAACTCGTGCATTTTGGGGTGGCTGCGGAGTTTTTGCCGTGGCGCAGAGCTAACCAATAGCTATAAAGCCTAAACTCGGGGAAGCGGTAATCGGTATTTGGTAATTGGTAATCGGTAATCGGTATTGGGTATCGGTTATCCGGATGTGGTGTATTATGTAACGTGTGTGGATCCTATGTACAGCTTAAGTTCAGATTTTGCATTATTAAGTTAAACTTGCTCATCTCTCTCGCTTGGTAAATATTTGTTGTTCTTTTTGTTCGATTAATACATATCTCGTTTTTATCCCTCTTTAGTTACCTAATCTTAAGCTTTAACGTTATCGGTTTTATCGTAAGTTAGGCTTATTTAAGTGTTAGTGGTTCTTTGCTTGCTTAAACAGTAAAATATATTTATGTATATATCGATTTATATATGTATGTATATATATATATATATACTTAAATAACTCCCTCTCTGAAAATCTATAACTCCCTTTACTGATTTAGATTTAGCTATTTATTCAATAAACAATTTATATCCTTCTGCGTCTTTGCTCAGGCTAAGGCTTAGGCATGACTGACACTAGCACTTGAACTTTATCATTATCCACCTTCTCCTTGGTTTTCATCTCATCTCCTTTTTTTTTTGGATTTTCTTCTTTTATCAATAATAGTGTTTAAGTAATAATAATCGCAGTAATCGTATTACGAAAATAATAGTGATCTTAGGTGTGTAATAAAAATTATTTTAAATATGCATAATTTACAAGTATCCTTTTTTGTCAAATGTTATCCGTTATATATGTGTATATGTATATATAGACTGCCTTTACATTTATCATTTATCCGTATTCCGTAGTTTTGTTTAATCATTTTACTGCTCTGCTTGTGTTCTCTGCTCTCGGTTCGTTTAAATGCATTTGTTTTCATGACTTATAAAAATTAGATATTTCTCTGTTTCTCTTTTTTTAACATTTTCCTCTTTTGGTTTGGTTTTTCTTTTTGTATTTTCAATAGTCTTCCTCCGCCGTAGAATAGAAAAAAAGAACAGATGTGGACTTAGCTTAGGCCAGCAACCTGCCGAATGAGGATCGGGCGGCTTTTTCCTGGGATCCGCCGCTGCAGGCTAACCTTTGGTCCTTTGCTATTTGGCTGCCGGGCTGACAGCACTGGCGAATGGTTACTGCAAGGATATAGGGATCGATTAGCATGATTTGGTCCTTGCTGTTCGATAGTCTGTGGTGGGTGTGTTTGTTAGTTGTTTTCAAAACGGGCAAAGTGGGTTAGTAGCGGTTTTTATTTTTTTGGTACTCAAGGTTAGATCTTTTGGTTGTGTGTAAAATGGCAAAGTGGCGGAATGTCTGGTTGAGTAGCGCACTAGAGAGTAAGCTTGAATTTATAGTTAAGTTTTATTTAAATTAAGTGCACTTACTGAATTCAGTTCAGTTTAGGGTTCGCTTGAATTGAATTGTGCTTGGGTGCTTTAAAGTGTTTTCGTTGTTGTGGCTTTAAAAGTAAGCGTTGTTGTGTTGGTTGTTGGTTTGGGTGTCGATAGTGTTGGATATTGTTATTCGCCCGGCTCCTCCATAATAACCGATTCGCCGGCCCAAACGATCGGACGACCCTGGTGTGGTTTCAAAGTTGGTTGGTAACAGCACTTGTTTCTTATCGTACAAAAAGGTTTACAAAAGAGCTAGGCCTAGGAAATTGCTATTTAGTATATGTATGTTTGGTAACTAGCCAGGATTTGCCATTTTATTTTCATATAAATGCAGTTTGTGTAGGATGTGTATTACAAAATCTAAGTTAAACTGAGGTATTACTGGAAATCAATCAAAAGTCGTTGTGGATCGTAAATTATAATGACTCGAAATGGATTAACTACGCATGCACTAGAAAAATGCTAAGCAAAACGGTTTTTTGTGTTGTGGTTCGGATCTATTTAATTGATTTTGATTGGGTTGTAGGGGATAGAGAAACATACCTATATGATTATTATACGAGTCTATGTGAAAACTACGTTGAAGTAACGGTAACTTTAACGGTAACGGTGATTTAAGGTGACTTTTCGTATTAATTTGGTTTGCTGTTTGGTTTTTGGTTTTGATTGGTTTGCTTTCGATCAACTTTCCATTCAACGTTTCAGTACACAATGCGAATTTTCATTCTACTTTGCCTCATTGGTGTGTAGGTGTGGTGTGTGAGTTTCCGTGAGTTTAATAATAAGCTTTTCATTTACAGGAGTGCGTATGTATATATTGCTAACTAAAAACAAATGCTTTGATGTTTACTATATTATCGGTTTAATTTGCTGGATCTTTGAACTGATCTTTTGAGTTTGGGATTTCTTTTTACATGAGTTTTGCGACTGATTACTCTACAAAGTTGTATATCGTTTGTTCTGGGTATTTTGCTATGAACAAAACGTTGAGCTAAATACTATATAAATATATGTTTTGTGTGTAGGTTTATATAAATATATGCAAGTGTCTTTGTTTGTTTATCAAATTTGCGATTTTCGAAATTTCTATTTTAATTTGTTTGGTTTTTTTTTTTGGTTTCTTGTACGATTCGAGTTTGAAAGATTCTGGCTTTAGTCGAGTTTCAGTTTAGTTAAGAGCTAGAGTTTGAGTGAGTCGAGTGAGGCTATGGATGAGCGCCTAGAGCCTAAGCCTATATTAGTGGGACAACTGACCAGTGAGGTGGTGCCAAAGAGCTTGTACCAGCCGATCACGATATTCGACAGATTCAGATCGTCGAGCATTATCTGCGCCACGCCCATAAACACCTTCTTCTCGATGCGTCCATAGTCGCCCCACACGGTTATCTAGGTGAAGATCACATGGATTAGATTTAAAGTATTTAAGGATATGAGAGACCCACCTGTAGTATGCAACCGGTGTAGGACTGTTTGAATACCAACTGCTGCTGGTACAGTGGATCCAGGGTACGTCTAGCCGAGGAGGTCTTCATTTTGTCCACACAGCGTTTTCCGGACACCAAGTAAACTTTTACATAAGGAGCAGGCAGCATTTTCGACTGGGCTTTTTGCTGTGGGATATTAGCATTATTATTAGATATCAGATATAGTTTGGCACAGCATCCTGACTTACCTGTAAGCCCCTGGCCCGAATGACCTCCACCTCCAGACAGCCCTTTTGATGGCACAGCGATAGCTGGATGTCGCCCAGCGAGGGAGCTCCCAGCACTTGGCGACCCACCAGTTGACCGGGTCCCAGGCCATCCACGAACTCATTGAGGGCTCCATCGTTGCGCAGCGAGGGGGAGAATCTATATATGCGGGGGGTTCGAGGGTTCGGGGTTTCGGGGGGTACATTAAAGAAAGCACTTTAGTACAGCATCGTTGGAGTGTTTTTCGTTCTTGTATCATCTCTCATCTAAAGATCTTTTTTATAAGTACGTAACGTAATTTACACAAAGAAAGGATTTGTTTTTTGAGAAAGAAAGAACTTTTTATACACAGGGAGTTGTAGAAAGACAGTAAATGTTTTAGTTTCAGTTGGTGGTTCTGTGTTCTGTGGTCTGAAATGGATCAGTGTGGTTGCTTCTGAGGGTGATACTGGTGGTGGTGCAGGGCGGAGAGAAAGAGAGAGAGGCAAGTGGAGTCACAGTTCAATGGTGGCATGCAAGTGTCTTTCGTTTCGTGGATCAAAAGTGCAGAGAAGGTACTATACTATATACGATCGGAGTGACTTGGACAAGGATTATTCCAGCCCAATCCTAAGTCATCTAAATAAAGAGAGAGCGGGTTCTCTAGAGAGCGATCTTAAGCGATCTACAGCTTTACAATTTTCTTTTTTTTTGTATACTTGTCTTAGTCTAATCCCTTCATTTACACACACATCAAAAGGTGAGGTTATCTTTTTATATACATAAATATATATATATTCTATAGATATTGCTGAAAATCATAGTTAAAATCAAGTTAAAGAAATCACAATTTATACACATTACATGACAGAAAAATACACAAACAAGTCGAAGAATCAAACGGAACTCAATGAAGTAAAAGTGGAATACACTTAGAGAAAAAATGTTCGCAAATGCAGCGGTATTGGTTTATAAGGCGCACGCACACAGACATCGATTAAAGACAGAGAGAGTGAGAGAGAGTTGCAGGATGAAATAGATTTTTTGGGGGAAAGTTGGTGATGGGATCGCCACACAGATTACCATATACAAAAGCCAATGGATAGAGTTTTAGATTGAGTCGGACAGTCGGAGAGTGAGAGAGTAGAGTCAGAGATTCACAGATTCAGAGATACAGAGACAGAAACAGGAACAGGCAAGAGATAGAGGTCCTTCGGCCGGAAAGCTAGTTTACTTGCTAACTTGGCCAAAATACTGGCCAAATGCGGCTGCTATCGGGAGACTTACGATGAGCCCTCGGAGCTAGTGATCGAGTGAATGCTGCCGGCACTGTAACGGGTCACCGGAGGCACCAGCGGCACCTCCACCGACCGCTGGATGCTGCCCGCCGAGCCGCGCGACTGCCGCTGGTGGTATGGATGTGGTGGTGGTAGTGTGATATGGTGGTGACCAGCCGAACTGGTCGAGCTGCCTGGTATTGCGAACTGTGCCTGGTATTGCTCTTGTTCTGCCGGAGACAACAATACATATTTATACAGATGTGTGTGTGTGCGCGTATATACAGAGGGTGGGGGTTGTATGATCAATAAGGTGATCCTATCATGTATCATATGGGATTATGCAGAGATGTCTATATAATAGAATACCAAAACCTTTTGACTACCAATGTATCTCAATATATTTAGACATTTCTGCATATTTTTGTACGTTTATTCTTTATTTATTATTTTGTACAAGTCAATTTTGATCTCCTGTTCTTAACCCATAAAAGCGACGATGCAGGGTGTGGTGAGGTTGCGACGCTGCTTTCTGGACTCCTGACGTTGGGCTCTTGGAAACAGCAAGTTACAAATCTCGAATAGGGAACCCCAGAGAGGAACAAGACAGAGTAGAATCGTTAACGGAAATCGAAATACTTAATCAAACTTAAGGGGTAAATCAAGCGAGAACGTTAACTGAATAACCATAAGAACACAGATCATAGAGAACACATTATATGTATATATATATTTATATATCAGCGAGAAATCATCAAAACTAGTGGCGTAAATGAAAACAATTATTGCGTTATAATTATCACTAGAAACTCAACCCGTCTGGTTGTGTATTTTCTAGTATTTCTAGTATTTATATAGTGTTACTTTGAAGCTTGCTTGTGATATATACTGCACTTTTGTTTTTCCACTACATCGTGTGCAATGCGAATTTTGTTTGCTGTCTAGTTTGGCCAATTTTCAGATGAGGAGTCTTGTTGTTGTTGTTGATAATGCAGCTATTATTGTTGTTGTTGTGTGTTGATTGTTGTAGTGGCTGTAGTTGTTGTTGTTGTTGGATGTCTGCTGGCTTTCTGTGACAGAGCTCCCTGTATATATACTTAGTGATCCGAATCGTAATTGCGCAAAACATAATCGAACTGAAGGAGAATCTTGCGGGAGGCAGATGATAAACATTAGTTCGCTGAATCGGGAATCGTAGACCTCAAGATCAAAACGGATTGTGTGTGGATTAGATTAGCTTTAGCTCCATGGTGGGGATCTCATTTGCTTTCGATTGTTGACTCTTACCGCTTACAACAAAAAGCCGTAGCTGAAGCCGAATCACAAGCTTGAGCTATGGCGATAACTTATCGATATTTTGATGCTGCAATAGAGTGGTAGTAGCTTGGTATGTCGCGTACGAGTGGTAACGAAAGAGTATATAAGTTGGTAAGTAGGTTGGCTTAACTCAATGCATGCAAATCGAACAGAACGCTAGGATTAAAATGTTTTGTGTGGCTTGGTTATACAAAAGATGGCATTAGCAATCGGTACGGGTTGGTTAGTAATAGTAGTAAGTAGGTAAGTAAGTATGCTGCTACGAAAGTAAAATGCAAATGGGGCGCATCCACACCGACGCATCCACAGTGGGTGCGAAAAGTGTGTGCCAGAAAGCTTTGCGCTCAGTGCCTCGCATTTTCCGTGAAAACTGCGGATGGGCAAAGCTTTCGGTGTGCCCCGCTTCGTTTTTAAGGGGAAACCCCATTGGTCTGGGGTGTTCCCCTTTTGTAAGCCTAAAAATACGTATCGACTTTGGATTGTTTGTTGGTTTTTGGTTTGGTTTAGTTGGGTTGTTCTGGTTCTGGATTTTTTCTGGTTTGTTTTTGCTTTGGTTTTTGCTGCGCCTGCGTTTAAAAGGAGGTCCAAAATAATAAATCAAGTTAACGGGGGGAAAGGCGGGTGGTTCGGTTACGTTTTCAAGTTACATTTGGTCATGCCTGCGAAGAAAGTTAAACAGAGAGAGAGACAGAGAGAGAGGCTGAAGCTTTGGCAAAAAGCGCGCGCGAAAATTGAGAGAGCAGAGTGGATGAAAAGCTCTTACATATAGGGATTGAAGGACCAACATCCTGTGTGCTGAACGGGGATTTGTTTTCGGGAGGGGTTACTGTTACCGATACTGTACTGTTACTGTTACTGTTACTATAACTATTACGTTTCTGGGCCGACTAATGTTTATCATCTCAATCGACAGCCTAACTGGCGTTTTTTCATCACTCGTTCAACAGTTTACTTGTACTATTTTTCTTCTTCCTCCAAAAAGGCAACTCAAAATCAAAAAGAAAGTCACAAAACGATAATCAACCGAAAAGAACTGATAGCATAGCATAGTAGAATAGTAGTAGTAGTTTAGATTAGAGTTGAGAGTAGAGTACAGTAGAGAGATAGAGAGAGAAGATAGTTTGGAATAGAAAGTTGGACTTGTGCGCACCTTTCCCCGCCGGCGCCATCGCCGAAGAACTGCTCGATGGCGTCCGCCTCCGAGGACGAGCCGCGGGACAGGCCGCCACCGCCGGCGCCGCCTGAACCACCGGCGCCTGAGCCACCGGCACCGCCGAGGCTAACGCCCAGTCCGCCACCGCCACCACCGCTCCGCAGTTCCCGCGTTATATCGCCGGGCAGCACTTCTTCGCTGCGGTGCACCGTGAACGAGTTCTTACCCTTCTTTCCAAAGCCCATACGTCTTTTACGACCTTCGAGTATGGCATTTTACACAAAGTTTTAGTTTTCTTAGTTTTACTATATATATATATCGGTTAGTTTGGTTAGCTTATGATAATGACTATGGTGGTTAGTGGTTAGTTCTTATCAAATGGCAAAGCAAAAGAAGAGATGATTGCTCCTGCCGGCTTTTTAAGTTCCAGAGTGAGCCTACTATGTTCCAAATAACTGATAAACTGAGCAAATGATCAACTGACTGATTGATTGACTGGCTGACTGAGCAACACAAGGCAACGGAACGAGAACGGTAAACGAGCGCAAACAGAGAACGGAACAAAATCACCCTACCTGTGGCCGAAAGCTGCGATGTGGAGTTCGACTTCTTTCCCATGCCGCTGCCCCCCTTGGGGGATCGCTCCTGGTCGACGCCGCCGCCCTTCTTCCGGTCGTTGGCGGTGTCCGATAGGCTGCCATCTGTGGGTGTGCATTATATATATTACAAATGGAAAATAAAGATAGAAATGGAAGGTGTTCTTAAGGCTTTGTGACTTGGGTTCACTTCCAAAAGTTTAGGAATCTCCAAATATGAAATGTAATTAAAAATCAATTGAAATTTAACTCTTACTTTTCAATCAATTACTCAAAATGTTAAAAAAAACCTTTTTTAGATTATGTTTGAACTCTAATTTTCAAGTTATTTGATGTAATTTTACTTAAATTGCTTTTAAAAATATTCTACAATAGTAATAATATAAAACGAGGTTTATCAATATCAGATAGACCTAGCATATGTAAGATTTAGAAAGATAATGCACATACATATTATTATAAGTTAACCCATTATAAAGAATCATAAAGAAATGTACTTAAAGCTTTACAAAAAACAAAAACAGATAAAAGTGATCTAACCGTGATCCTTAGATTCAAGTGTCAATTTTAAAAACTGTGGACCTGCGCTTTTTTCTAATTAAATAATAGTTCCTTTGATCTCCGGCTACTCACCGACTTTATCTTCGGCACCACCGCCCTCAGCTGACTTGGAAACGCCAGCCTCTTCACCTCCGTTCTTGTCCTTGTCGTACTCGCTAAAATCATCATCCAGCATCGCATCGATTGCATCCCAGTCGATGGCGTCCAGCGGAGCATCCGCGTCCGCATCCGCATCAGCGTTCGTTGTTGTAGTTGTTGTTGCGTTTGGTTCGTTCGTGTTATTCGTTGTTGTTGTCGTGGGATTTGTGGCAGTTGTTGTAGCATTTGTTGTTGTCGCAGTTGTTGTTGTTGTTGCGGTTGTCGTTGTCGCCGCATTCGTTGCATTCGACGATGTTGTGGTTGTTGTTGTTAATGTTGTTGTTGTATTTGTGATAAGATTTGTGCATGTATTTGGTGGTTGTTGTTGTTGTGAAGGTGGTTGTTGTTGTTGTAATTGTTGTTGTGTGGCGTCAAGCGTCAGGTTGTTAGCGTCAGTGTTGTTGGTGTTTTGTTGTGGTGTTGATGATGGGGCACGTTTGTTATTGTTGTTGATATTATTGGGTGATCCATGAAGTTGTTGTTGTTGTTGTTGTAGTAGTTGTTGTTGTGGTGGTGGTGGTTGGGGATTTGCAAAAGAGGAAGAAGAAGCATTATTAGCATTAGTACCACCGACGACCAAATGCCCAGCAGCGGCAGCAGATGTTGCACCACCGCTCCCACTACTAGATTTCGTCAGCTGCTCCGATGCCATCGATGCCATCATCGATCCGCTGTTGGCGGTGGTGCCTTCTTTCCCTTTTTGCCTAACTGATTGTTGTTGTTGTTGATTCTGTTGTTGTTGTTGATTGTGACTTTGGCTAACACTAACACTACTCGCTTGGCTATTGTGGTGGTTGGTAGTGGTGTGGTGGTTGCTATTGTGTGTACCGGTAGTGTTGTGTGCAGCACCACCGCTGCCCATTCCGTTGTTGCCCTGCTCCATTCCCATTGCCGAACCCTGCTCCATTGGTGAAAAATTGTGGGCATTCTGCGCACTCGGCGGATGCGGCAGATTCCTTCGGCGCTTCAGGTAAGGAGCCGCCGGACCGTACAACTTCTGCTGGCTGGTTCGCTGCAAGTCCAGCGACATATGATGTCTGGCATCCGCCAATCCACGTTGCCGGTGCGCCCCCCTAAATAGGGACGGCGCCACGCCCCTTCTCGTCCAGCCCACATCCGAGTCATAGGTAATGGTCACAATCTTGTCATCGGTTACCAGGAAATGCGAGTGACTCAACGGATGGCTGGCATCCACATTGGCGCCCATATACGACTGACGTATATTCGTTTCGGAGCCATAGCGACGCGACATCGCCGCCGTCATGGGCGAGTGACTGCCATAGGGATTCGGGTGCGGATACGGGTAGTCCGCCGACGAGGGCATCACCTCGTCTTCGTACCGAATGCGCCGGCGACCCCAGCTCTTCGTGTGCAGATCATCGTAGTCCAGCGAACGCGACTGACCCTCGTGAAAGAGTCGCCTGCGCTCCAGCTTCGGTTTCTTGAGTATCGAAGTGGGTTGAGCCTTGGCCTCCGAGATGGGAATGGCTGACACCAGGGCGTCTTCGCTCAGCTGTCGCGATAGCCGAAGCACCGATTGAGTGGGCGGTGGTGCCGGCGTGGCCATTTGACCCCTCGCCCGCCGATGGGCATTCGGGGTGGGCGTGTGCACATGGTAGGTGGGCACCACGCCCAAATTCATTTGTGGTCCCGTCAGCCCGCCCAGAAAGTGCTGATCCACACACTCGCCGCACATCGCGGGATCCGAGGTGGGTGGTGCTAGTGGTGGTGGTGGCTGGTGCATGGGCTGGTGCTGCGGATGGGGATGGGCATCCATCAGACAGCAGGGATCCTGGCAGGCTCCAATCGCTATACCCGTGGCGGTGGTCAGATGAAGGGGGTGGTGCGTGGACAGCACCACCGGCTGACTTCCATTCTGGCAGTGGCTGCAGCTCTTGTCCTGGTGATCGCGCACATAGCCCACCAGTGAACTGGGCGCCGCGGAGGCGTGGTCATGGGCATGGGCGTGCCCGTGGAGACCCGAGGAGGGCGAGGAGCTGCGGAAGAGATTCGTGATGGGCGTGGTAATGCGCTTGAATTGCTCAAAGCTCGGCAGCAGCGGCAGCGGATAGGCAGCGGCAGCGGCGGTGGCTTGTACGTTCGGTTTCTGTCCGTTCGACCGTCGTGATGGTGGATAGCTGATGTCGATGTCGAAATGGGGCGATTGCGAGTAGAAGGCGGAATGGGGATGTAAAAGTGGATCGAATGGATCGAGTGGATCGAGTGGCTCGATCATCATCATCTCCTCGGCCATTGTGCCGGGCTCCACGAAGAACTGCTCCACCAGCTGGCCGCTGTTGGCATCGGTCACCAGCACCTGATGTGGTGGTGCCAATAGTGGTGGTGGTGGTGCTGGCATTCCAATGCCGGCCGAAATGGGTGGAGAATCTGCTGCGGCCAGAGCAGCCAGCTGCTGCAGTTGCTCCAGCTGCTCCAGCAAAACCAATTGCTGGGCACCGCCCATCGGCAGATAGTCACAGTCATCCACCTCGATGGTGTTGGCCCTTCCCAATGGCTCCGATGGGTGCAGCCGCAGTCCGGTGATGGGTTCGCCGCCTCCGGCTCCGCTGAGGAAACTGTTGCGGACGCCAAAGAGGTTGCGCCAGTTGCGCGGGAAGCTAACGGTTATTGCGGGCAACGGTAACGGGTGGTATCGGGTGGTAACGGTTGGCAGCGGTGGTTGTTGGTGTTTTGTGGTGAAAACATTTTGGTTTCGAGGCATGCAAAGAGTGTTGGAGTGTTGTAATCCCATTTACCATTCCCAATGAGCGTGATTTTTCAAAAGACAGCGCGAGTTTCGAGTGTGTGGTGGTTTGAATTGGTTGGGTTGGTGGTTGTTGTTGAAAAAATTAACAAGGCGCAATCGAGGGGAAAAGAACGAACAACGTCCGACGTCAGCGTTTGGTTCGAGGTGAGTGGTGGGTGTATGTGTGTGGTTTCGATTTGAGTGGTTTCGTGGCGAGTTGTGGTTGTTGTTGAGTTTCGTGGTGAGTTGGCGTGTAAGCGTGTGGTGAGAGCACAGCACGCGAGAGAAGCATTTAAACACAAACACAAAGAGAGTACGCGCGACGAGAGCGGCGTTGTTGTTGATTGTTGTTGAGATTTTCATAGAGATTTGATTTTTATTTGAGCGATTTGATTTAGTCGGTTGGTTTGGCAAACGCAAAAAGTAAATGCAGAAAAGAAACTTTATGTTTTCGCTATCGTTTTTCGTTGGTTTCAGTGTGCGTTTCAAGGTGTTGGTGTATCTGTGTCAGCGAGATACTGTTGCGTGTATGTGTTGGTGTCAAAAAGAGAGTTGGGCGGTAAGCGCGCCGATTCTGATTCTGATCATGGTCGTCTCGATCGACAACCGATTCTAATTTTGAGCCTAATTCGGGGAAATTTTGGATTTTGCTCGCAGCTACTACTCAGAAAGTAAATGTGGATTAAATGGGCGACCAACTGCCGTGTGGTCCAGAGCAGAATTTCAGCGTAATTTTGGCAGCGTAGCTTGGCTTGTTTGACTAATGGCTAATGGCTTGGGCTGTCGACTGGCACTCCTTCCTCCTCCTCCATCCTCTCCTCAGCCCGCCGGCCACTTACCTGAGTCCTCGCGAGGTGCGCGGGCGCTCCGACTGCGTGGAGAAGGCGCTGGAGGTCACGCTGACCACCGACTCCATGTCCGAGTCGCCGAACTCGCCCATAAAGTCCTTGTCCGGCGACAACGAGTGCCGTGGCCGCATCCTGGCGTCCATCGAGTGCAGATCGCTGTCCGACAGTCCCGTGTAATGGCGCTCCCAGCCGCCCATTCCGGTGCTGCGGTACGTGGCCTGGTGGTGCGGCTGTCGTGTTCGGTGTCGTCCAAAGCGGCCGCCCGAGGCCAGCCGCTCGTCGAATTCCTGCCCGAGTCGATCGCGCAGCATGGCACTGCGAGAGGTCTGCGGCACCTGTGATGGGAAGCAGAGGATTCCGGGTAAGTTTCATTAACTGTATAATTATTTAAAAACAGAAATTGGCGCCCAACGTTGGTGGAGATGTGGCCCCACGTTGGGCGCCATTTTTCTTTTTATGTTATTAACAGCATCCAAATGTGTAAGTGAGTTTCATGAACTATTTCATTCATAAAAAAATAAATTGGCGGCCAACGTGGGTGGAGATGTGGCCCCATTTTTCTTTTTATGTTATTAACAGCATCCAAATGTGTAAGTGAGTTTCATGAACTATTTCATTCATAAAAAAATAAATTGGCGGCCACCGTGGGTGGAGATGTGGCCCCACGTTGGGCGCCATTTTTTATTTTATGTCTTTCTTTTATGTGTAAGTCAGTCCTTCACTATCGTGGTGCTGTCTACTACATTCTATAAATATACAAAACTCTTAATAATCGTTTCGATGGATTACCTGTGGTAGTTGCCTCTTCTTGGGCGATCCTGTGGGCGTGGCTGTGGCCGATCGCGACTGGAATCGCTGCTGCTGCGAGGCAGCCGCCGCCGCTGAGGACGCACCGCCCTGGTAGACCGATGGGGCGTTGGGCGAGCCGTGAACTGGAAGCACTGGATAGTCTATGTAGCGGTCGTCCGGTGGCGAGAGCGATCCCCTTCGGGGACTAGTGCTCCGATAGCCGTAGGCGGATCCGCCGGAGGGCACTCCACCCACTCCTCCGCCTCCGCTGCTGCTGTGGTAACCGTCGCTGGGTGCCGCCGAGTGGCTCCGCTGGCTGAGGCTCATGCCACCGGGACCGATGGCCGAGCCGATACCATTACCACCTCCGCGACGATAGTAGCCGGTGGCAGAGGCCTGTTGAGTGGTTGAGTTGAGTGGCATGGAAAGTAGAGTGTGGTTTAGTGGTGCACCCTTTGACCGAAGCTCCGCGATCCCCGGGGGATTCTGACAAACATTCGGATTGGAGCTTACTGACTAGGCATGTGAGTGATTCTGGGTGGATTCGATTCGATTCGATACGATTCGATTCGAGTGGTTCTGAGTCAGGCATTAACTTTGTGTGTGCTTGGGTCTTTTGTGTGTCTGGGAATGTTTCGTGTCTTTGGTTAACTGTTACTGCAACTTCTACTGGAACATTAAAACAGGTAAGTTCATATATATACGTTTATATTTAGGTATATATATGATTATAGAGAGAGCAAGAGATAGAGAGCCATACAAATTGAATAAGAATACGCTTTCGAAACGAAATCAATCAAAATACACTTAGAGCCGCACGCGACTTGTTAGATTTGTTAGATTAGTGGATTAATCGGTTAGTTAGGTTAAGTAAAGGATTAGCATAAACTCTGAATTGAAAGTGCAGTAAGTTGTTGGCAGTGGTTGTTTGGTCTAACTAACTAGCTATACTTGTGGGGTTGAGGATGGTCAAGATACTGTATGTTTTGGACTGATAATCAGGTGAGTCAGTGATATGACCTCTGGAAGCCCTCTTGAATATCTTCTAAAGGATTAAGAAGTTTTTATTTTAACAGGGATCTAATGATTGGTGAAAAAGTATTGAGATTAAAATTTTAAGGTTTTCGTACTACTTAAATGGAGAACTCCTAAATGTTTTTATTTATTCCCCGATTCTTAAGCTAATCTCTCCTTCAGAAGTGTTTTCTTTGTCTGTACTGTTCTGTTCTGTTGGTTTTGCCTCTTTCTGGCCATTTTGTTGGGTGGTTCGTTAATTTAGCTTGGGTGCAAACCTGATTGTGGTAACTTTGTCCAATGCCAGATACAGTGCGGTAGTCGCGGGCCACCATCCCGGCCACCCGTTTGCGGCCCTGGGGCGACATGTCACGTCGGGAACGACGCTCGTTTAGATCGAGCTGGATTTGGTTTGGTTTTGGTTTTGGAGTTTGGATCGGGACGAAAGGGTTTTCAAGGGGATTTCAGTGAGGGGTAAGAATCGAGAGAAAAAGAAGGAGTAGACAATAGAGAAATTTACATATGATCAAAATGGAATGGAGAGTCTGGAGCACAGTGTGAGATGCTGTTTAAATGTGTGGGATATCGGATATCATATATTGCCTCTTGGTTAGCGGCCTCTTACATTGTGTTTGTGTGGGAGTGTCTCTGGGGCTTGGGTTTCTGGTGTCTCTTTTGGGGGGTCTGTGTTCGATTAACTCAACTCACATCAAGTATACGCAATGCTACACACTTAAAGCTACTAGGTGAAGAAGCCACAAGGAAAGCAGGACGGGCAGTTCACAGGTGCTAAGTGATGGATAGATGGGCAAAAGCGGTTCGCTACAAGGGCATGCAAAGCTGTTTTCAAGTTTTTCAAGTTTTCAAATGCTCTTCAATGGCTGATCGATCGTGGATCTTATGACAGACAGATAGTTAGATAGTTTTGCTGAGAAACAGCCTTGGGCAGTATGTGTTCTCAAGTTTCTCGGGTTTACACGGATTCTTAACTTATAACATTCGGCTTATAAGACTTAGACTAGATTAATTTCCATCTTAAATGAATTAGTTATCGTTAGCTGAAAAGACGCGACCAAGACGGACTTGGATTCGTTTTAGTTGTTTAGTACAGAGAGTTAGTAGAACGACAGTTTAGACTTCAAAGAGATAGAGGCAGTAGATCGAGAGAGAGAGAGAGAAAAATTTAACACACGCACAACCAAACAACGACACCAATTAGTTGAATAAAAGTTTCAAACGAACTCAAAACATCATGATAACGAAAATACTTTGTACAATTGCTGGGAGGTTTCATGTCGTGTATTTTGTATTTTGTATTTGGCCAAAAACATGAACAGTCGGCATCAGTCCGATTCTGTCCCTGACCGTGAACCAGTTGGAATGTGTGTGTGAGACTGTATCTGGGTTTCTGAATTGGTATCTGTGTGTTTGTGGCATGCGAACTGAGAACTGATAACTGACAGGAACAGGAACTGGAACCGCAATGGAGTCTTCTCTGTGATGGAGCACATACGATGGCCATGTGTGAGCTATTCGTTATTCTTTTTGTTTGCGATTGCAATGGCGATGGCGATTGCTGTGCTGATGATGACCAAATCCAAAGAGTTGGCTGTGATGCTTATGATGACGCTGCTCATGGCATGTGATATGTGAGTTACAGTTAGAAAAAAGCACACACACAAAGACAAAGAGAGAGAGAGAGGAGAACAAACTATGGAACCCAAGTAAGAACTTAATTCACTGCATACTCTTGCTTTTATACGGACTGATTAATTCCTGATAATTATTTTATTTTAATAAGAAAAAGTTCGAAAAATATTTGAAGAATATTTTTTAAAAAGATATTGTTAAATTCTTAAGGTTTTATTAGATCACCATATCGCTCTTTAGATTTTATTCATTGCTTTATTTTGTTTTATTAAAGTAGTGACGAAACTATCTCCTAAGCCAGAGTATACAGCTTTTACTTTCACGTCAAATGCTTTGTGGCCATGTATGTGTGTAAGAGCGAGATTGGGTGGCTCAGTGGGCGGAAATGTTCGCTTGTATGCATATCTGTGTGCCACTGGAAGTAGCAAGCTGCGATTGAAGTCTAATGTATGCGCTTGTGTGTGAGTGTCTCTGGTGTCCTCACTCTTGTTGCTGTCAGTTGTTTTGGCTTCGGATGAAATCCTCCCCATTTTCTTCGTGTGTACTATATACATGTATGAAATAATAAATTCAATTTCTGTGTGGTGTGGCTCTGATTTGTTGTTGTAATTCAGGCTGTTGTTCTTGTTGTTGATGATGTGGTTGTTGTTATTGTTATTGTTGATAAAGTTGTTCTTATTGTTGTTGTGGTGGACTGTTTACCTCTAGCAGGGGCGGCGGACTCGCTGAGCTGCCCATCGACGAGATGCTGGCCCCCGGAGTCATTCCATCGATGTCGCAGTCGGACGTCGTGTCCGAGTCGCTCAGACGCGACATGGTGCTCGGCGGTGATAAATGATCTGTCGGTGTCAGTATCAGACCGTCCACATCGCTGCCCTCGTCACGTAACTGTATATTCGTTGTTGTATGGTTAGCGTTGTTGTTGTTGTCATAAATTTTGCGTCGCAATGTTGTTGGTGTATTATTGTTGTTGGTTATGGTGGATGGTGTTTTTTTGTTGTTGTTGTGGGTGGTGATGTATTGGCGGGTGCACGACAAAAAACGAACGAAAAAAATAAACAGATTATGACAATGCTGAGTTAATAATTTTGTTCTCAAACCGGGCAGCTGCTGCGGGTAGTGGAGGGTGGATAAAGGACATTACCAGGTCGGTTTTGGCCTTCACTTTCACAATTTTAATTTTTAGAACAGTAATTTCTTAAAGTGTACTTGAAGTTTGCGAAAGTGAAAGCTAGAACCGCCTAAACATTGAGCTTTACAAACCAATAAAGAAAATAAAAAAATTAAATAAAACTAAAACATTTTCCATTCTTTTCTTTAACAGATTTGTGTTAAGTTTTTCACTCGCCAAAACTTCGTTCGCGGAACTGAACCTGAACTCTGTGTGTTTCCATCATCATTGTTTACAAGTGTTTACCAACACCTATTTAACAACCAGGAAACGGAAACGAACGAACGCAAAATGGAAACCAAATGGAAACGAACTTAAAGAGCCGCACTTAAAGGCCCACACATACGAGATAGGAGGTGTCCTGGTGGGGCTGCAGCTGATACCACTCGGCCTCGTCGTCCAGGATGTGGTGCGCCAGATCGATGACCACCTCGCCGATAAAGTCGTTGGCCCCGTACCGCACATAGTCCCACAGCGTCACCTTTGGAGATTGGTATACAATTAGTGGATTTATTTGCGTACTAATGGCGACTACTCACCTCGAGCAGGCGGCCATTGAGGTCACAGCGTCTCAGACCCGAGTAGACAAAGGTCTGGCCCCAACGGGGTTCGCAGGTGGTGCCCACCGTCTTCGTTCGCCGCTTTGATTTGTGGCTCCGATCGGGCAAAAGGAACACCTGTAAAAAATAATGAAATTATGAATTATTATGCATTATATTATAATAGGAACTTGAGGAAATTCAAGAATTTTTTATATTAAAAATTATCAATATTTTTTTTAAATAAATACATTTTTAAGAAGGTACCTAAAAATGGTAACAAAATATAATAATTAATTATTATATAAATTTTTTTAAAATCAGATTTATAATAAAAAAAATCAATTGAATATAAAACCTTATCAATGCACACACAAAAAAATTTAATTGGTAAAATTTACCTATACGGATAGTTACGTAACTATACTGTGCATGGATTGATTGAAGCGTTTATTTAACAAACCATAATAAATTGTAAGTAACAAGTGATGCCATGACTTAGGATACATTTACTTAAATTAAAATTTAAATAGACTGATTTCTTCTTAATAAAAAAATTTTTTTTTAATTCATGGATCGAATATCAGAGGCTTTAACTTTTTACTCACTTTAGCATAGGGATTCCGGCCCGCTCCGCTCTGGCGCAGGGAGAGTCCGGTGGCGCAGACCAGGGTCACGATCAGCTGCAGCGTGTTCTGGTCGTAGCCGAGCTTCAGCTGCAGCCGCCCCTCGATGGGGATGGGCTGCGTGGTGGTGCCGGAGCCGCTGCCCATGCCGATGCCACCGCCCACCGCGTGGCCTTGGAGGTGGGCGGCGGCGGGCGGACCCTGGTGCGGATGCTGATGCGGATGCGGATGCTGGTGCGGGTGGTAGTGGTGCGGGTGGTGGTGGTGGCCCGCCGTCGTTGTGCCGTACAGGCCGCCAGGGGCGGAACCGGAAGCGGACGCTGACGCGTGGGCGGGGCCGTGGGCGGAGGCGGGGGCGTGGACGCTGCTGGTGCTGCTGCCGCTGCCGCTGCCACTCCCGCTGCTGCTGTGGCTGTGGGTACTGTGGCTTGGTCCCAGGCGCTGTGTCTGCCCGACGCCGCCACGTTGCCGGATTCCGGATCCAGATCCTGAACCTGATCCTGCTACTGATCCCGATACCGATCCTGGGCCGGAAACACTGGTGTGGATGTCCGGCGAACCGGGCGAGGTGATCAGCACGCTGGGCTTGTCCCGATGGATTTCAATGGCCTCGACGGCGGGAGCTGTGGGTGGATTTTAAAATCGGTTTAGGATCGGGAGTGTGTTTTTGAAAGATAAATTAACTTGGAGTTGCGGTTAAGTCGGTTTAGCGTGTTGTTTGTGGTCATTTCATTAATTGGTCGTTTTTTGGATGAGAAAATGGAAGCCACTTGAAATTGATATTAACCTAATAAAGAGGGATACTATTTTACATTTGATCAATAGATCAATAAACGTTTTACAAAAACCTTAAAAAACTTTCAAATATCATAGAATTTTATAAAATGGGCTATACGTTCTAGCAAGACTAACAAAATAGCCCAATAGCAACGAGCTTGAATTTTTATTACAACCATTTCTGCTTCTTTCTTTTATTTTAAATTTGTATTTTTTTTTTGCTTATTATTGGGAGCAATATGTGATTAAAAGTAAATTCTAAGAATGTGATTTTTTTATAAAATGTCCCCTACATGAATTGGAGGTGTTAATGTAACTTCTTTCTTTCTTTTATTTCAAAATTCAATTTATTTTTTTGCTCTTTTTTGGGAGCAATAGGTGTTACAATGGGATTTCCTTTGTAGTATTTCCCCAATATGAGCTATATGTGTTAATGTGATAATTTCTCATTGAAAAATCAAGAACTTTAAGAACAAGAATGGTAGCACAAAAATCAACCAAATCAGTCACACTTAGACACGCTCTTTCACAGACACACAGCCCCGTAAGTCTTTAACCATCTATATGGTATATGGCATAAGTTATCGTATAGCAGTACCTTTGCGCTGGAGATAACGTCCGCCGCTGCTGACCACCGCACTGCCGGCCATGCTGCTGGCCAGCCCGCTGTGCGGGAAGTTGGCCGAGGAGCGGCGAGCGGGGACGCTGTGGGCGGATGCGGATGCGGATCCACCGGAGGCGCCGCTGATGGGACTGACGTTGCTGCTGCTCCCGCCACTGCCACCTCCACTGCCGATGGGCCGGCTCACAATCAGTTCCACTTGGGCGTCCAGGCGACTCTCGTCGATGATGTCGTACACCTCGTCGGCACTCTTGTTGTGCAGCCCGCGGCCATTCCACTCGAGGATCTCGTCGCCTGCTCCGTGGGATGATCGTTGGATGGAAGGTGGTTGAGTGGTTGATTGGTTGGATTGGATTGATAGAAGAGATAGACAGAGAGAGATTGAAAGTCAGAATGTGTCGATGTGAGAATGGGGATGCTCTTGAACTTTACCTGGTCGAATCCTTCCCTCGAGATCGGCCACCGATCCGCGCTTCACCTTCTCCACAATGGCCCCGCATGGACCTCCGACTCCCGATCCTCCCGTTCCTCCCGTTCCTCCCAGCAGCTGACCGCCGTTGACCTTTAAGCCTAATATATCCTCCCCATCATAGTATTTACGCAATATCATGTGCCCGATCAGGCGAGTATTGTCAGCGGATGTTTGCCAATTCACCGGATTCTATATGCAGCGTTCGATTTACGATTGTGGGTGTGAAGGTTAAGATGGTAATTGGTTTGGTTTGGTGATATTATTTTTGTGGGATTTTTTGTTGTTGGTGGTTTACAGTTTACAGTTCGGATTGCGGATGATCGTGCATAGATTTTGGTTGTTGGATGTGGTGGTGTCGGTGGGGAGCCATCGTATGCGGGAAGTAGAATTGTTTTTAGTTAGCTTTTTGCACCGCTCACAGGTCTTAGACATAGAACTTAGACCCTAGGTTATCAAACTTACAATTAGAGTTGGTAAACGAAAAACATATGTATAATATATATAACAGTAGAAAGTAACGGTTTGTACACTTTGTTCACATTCAAGTTTTGGCTTTTCTTACAGTCTAAAAAACATGTTCTACTCAATCACGTAAAGTTTTGGCATAGCGCATAGATATAGATATAGATACATAGTTGTTTCATTGGTTGTTTCCTACATTTGTTTGAGAACACACACGTTTCAAGAGTTTTGAAACCCTCAAGTTGAGGATCGAATGGGATAAATTTCGAAAGTGGGCTAACGACATTTAGAGGTCATGCAGGGCGTGCTAATGGGGTTTTTTGTATTGGGTGGAGCTTCATGCAAGCACAACACTTAGAGGTTTTGTAAAAAATCGGATCATATTGGGCATGCAAGATTACAGTTCTTTGTGGGGGTTGGGGCGTTTCGAATATCTCTAGGTTTTCTTTTTTTTAGTGAGGTTGTATGCTGAAATTGTCAAGATGTTTTTGTCATAATAGCTGTAAGTTAGTTGAGTTAGCGAGCTGGGAGTGATAACCAAAAACGATATCATATAGCTGATGGTCTGGGCTTTTTTTATGGTTGCTTTTTGGACATGACAAGAACAACAAACAGATCATCGGGATGGGATTTTCATTGGGGTTTTCGCCACACACAGACAAACGGAAAGTGGGTTAGAAAGAGACAAAGGGGGAAAGAGAGAGAGAGAGGACTCTACACAGACACAATGCATTCTTGCCCATCTGGAACTTGTTCTTTTCCATTTCCTTTCAATTTCCCGCAGCCATGTGTACCTTGGGCCCATCTCCTCGATTCGAGTCCTCGCTGCTGGTGAACGTGCTGCTGGTATCGATGCCCGAGTCCTTGGTGGCCGAGTCCTGGCTGCCCTGCCGCTCGGCCTCCCACCGCGACCAGTCACCTCCTCCGGACTCCAGGCTCTTGCCACTGCTCAGTATGGTGGCTGCACCCACATCCACCGCGGTGGAGGGCAGGATTCCCGTGACCGGTGGCAGTGAACCACCGGCAGCTGCCATTATGGAGGCTGCCTCTTCTTCGGCCGCATCGAAACGCACCGTCTTCTTTATTCTGCGCTCGGTGAAGCGTCGCGAGTCCTGGGCCGCCGATGAGGAGGAACTGGTGGCCGGTTCATCCCAGTAGGCGGCCTCCGTGGAGCTGACGGAACTGCTGCCACCGCCGCCGCCCCTCGTGGCGCCCAGCAGACCACCGCGCTGGTTGCTCCGCGCCGCCTGACCTTGGGCATCTGCCGCCGCAGCCGCCGCCATGGCCGCCGGACCAATCACAATCTGCGGCTTCGTCTGTGGATAGTAGCTGCTGCTAGTGGTGCTGCTGCTGCTGCTGCCACCGCCGCCGGCGGCTGCCAAGGGCGGGGCACGTCGGTAGACGCCAGCAGCACCACCACTTGCTCCTCCTCCGCCGCCGCTGGTGGAGAACTGCCGCTCGTGGTTGCTGCGGTTCAGCGAGTTGCGCTGCTGGACGTCCAGGCGAGCGGTGCGCGTCAGCGGATACTGCTCCAAGCGCTCGCGGTGCTGCAGCTGCAGCTCGTAGCGATCCCGCTGATCGGCGGAGGCGTACAGCCGCTGGGTGGCGTGCGACAGGTGGCGGAAGTCAGCACCACCGACGCCACCACCACCACCACCGCCCGCTGAGCCACTGATCAGGTCCCGCTCGTTGAGGCTGCGCTGCTGGCGCCACGGGTCCAAAGAGGTGCGCACCTGGAGGCGCCCGCCTGTAGGGGTGGTAGATGTTGATTGGGTGTGGCTATAAACGCTACTACGGGGGTGGGTTGCTCTGGGGGATTTTTTGGGGGGTTTCAGGGGTTTTTTCGGGCTTTGGGTTGGGTACTTTTTCTTCTCTTTCAAGGGAAACTACGCCGCTTGCCTGCCATAGTTTGTTGTCCTTTTCAGATGCTTCAACAAATGCACACAATCATAATGGTAATCGATCGGTTGAGAAAGCAAAAGTTCAAAGCAAATAAATACGTATGATATAAGACTTAGTTTTTGGGTCCCTGAGTGAGTTTGAGTTCTTGTTTTTTCGAAAATTTCATAGAAGAATTAGTAAATGTTGATTTGATAAAGTTAAAAGTTAAGATATTTTCAAGTGATTTCTAGTAGAAGTTTTCTACTAATTTTGAAATTTATGATATTAAGGCCGAAACTATTTTTCAGATTGTTAAAAAAATAGTTAATAAATTATTTTAGAAATTTCAAAGGAATAAAATGTTTCATATAATTTAATGAAATACTATTTAAGACTTTTAGTTATTCAGTAATTTGTAATTGGCTTTTCTTACAGCTAAATTTAAATTTTGGATCTAGGACCTATTGTCAATGTCTATTTCAGAAATGTTTAAAGACATCGATTAGAGTTTGTTTTCAACCAGATGATGTATATAAAATTTTCGAAAAAAGCTGCGAAAGTGCCATAATTTAGACCAGAACTGCATGAGTAAGCTAAGTATGGGTTGTACGAGTATCATAAGTAGACCTACTAGACTAGAGCTACGAGTGCCCGCGACTGCTGGGACTAAAAAAGTGCCAGGGCCGGGAGAATATGACTCAGGGGCTATATAGTAGGTGCCTTATGTTTTCAGGGGTTCAGATTTGAAGTACAAGGCATTGAAATACTTATCTGTTGTGGCTAAAAGTTGCAAGAGCATTAAATTACAAGCTAAGGTTTTCGGTATCTCAGGGGCAATGGGTTTTTGTGGCCCTGGGGGACAGTGTAAACTGTTGAATGTTCGGAAATGTGTGTGTTTTTGTTGGACAGTGTAAGTTCTGGTTGAAGTAAGAAGGAAACGGGAAACAGCGTTACGATATCCATGCAAATTATTCACCAAGATTTCTTGTTTTTTTGTCAAAATTTCTTTTTGTTTTAGTTCACATTTACAGGTAGGGTTAAAAACGTAGAAGATACATAAAAAAGGCAGAAAGTAACAAATACATAGGGATACAAAGTGTGGGAAAATCTCGTCAAGTAACGATAAATAACACGTGTGTTCACAGCCATAAAAAGAGAGTGTGTGTTGTGGTTTAGGAAATCAAGTGATGATCGAGAGAGCAGAATCGGAAGCCAAAGAAATGCGGACTGAGAAACGCTTGATTGCATCACTTTATTGTCGAATATCGAAAATAGAATAGAAAATTCTAGGGAGGAGAAAGTGGAGGAGAGTGTGTGTGGGAGAAAGTGTGAGTGAGGGGCGATAGTGCTCGAACAAAGGAAACAAAGTTAACAACTAAGAAAATCGCACATTCCTTGCTTTCGCTTGTGACGTGTGTGGGAAACGTGTGGAAAACTCAAAGGAAAACATAACATCGAAGAGACACACACATTCAAATTAATTCGCATTAAATGCCTTTGGGCCTTGATTTAATTCTTTTCGCTTACATTTGCATGAATCTGTAGATCGCCGGGCGAGATTACTGTTTGGACACCTTGAACGCCGCCAAAATTACCTGCTATTCGATGTTTATTTTTGGTTTCATTTATATTATTTTGGGGGTATATTTGGATTTTTGGTTTTTGGTTTTTGGCATAATGGTTTATTGTGGCGGGCAAGTTGGTTGGAGTTTCATTTTCAGGGTTGACCAGAGAGAGAGAAAGAGTGGAGAAAAATATATGAAAACAATATTTCAAAGGTGAGTTCGAGTGGTAAATGTGAGTTAGACTAACGCTTAACTAGCTTACCAACTTAGCTTATGGGTAAATTAAATTAATTACTTGCTGGTGGATCTAAACATCTAAATGTAATAATTATTTATACATATAGCTTACAATTTTGAGTGCTCATAAGCGGCTAAAAGCTTTCCAACTTACATTACTGATACTATAAATTGCAGCTTGCTTTCTGCCCTTGAAAGTAGGCAATAAAAGTTGCTGCAAACGCATTTCCAACCGATTCTTTAAAACAAATGCACACTCACACACAGCCAAAGGCACAGACACTCAGACAATCGCCTTGGGTGCGAAAGAAAAACTAGTTTTTCCCACACAGACACACAGTTTCACCCATACAGTTGTATTTTTGTGGGCCATACCCCTGGCATACTTTCATTTGACTTTGGTCACGATACAAAACGTTTATTGTGCGCATAATGGGCAGCGGCAGCAGCAGAAACAACAACAATAACAGCAGCAATAGCAGCAACAGCAAACAAAACAAAAACAAGTGAAATAAAAATACAACGAAAATAAGAAGAGGGAATAAAAAAATTACATAAAAACAGCAAGACCAAACGATAACAATGTAAACAAAAGAAGGCACGAAAGTAAAACAAAGCCAAAGTAAAGTAAATTATTTGAGAAACCACACGCACAATCTGCTTTTGGGTGGCATTTAGGGGTGGGGCAACAGAAGTTGGGTGCTGGCCCCCAAGTGAAAGGCGCAAAAGACCAAGAAAAGAAAGCAAAAATCAATAATGTACACAAAAACACGGTCATTTCTGTCCCTTGGCGACCTTTCTTATTGTTGTTCGTGTTGCTGCTGCTGTTGTTGTTGTTGTTGTGGAAAGGCTGCGCACAATCATCGCATTGTGCAACAAACAAAAGGGAAAGAAAAATCAAACAAATTTTACATTCATGTGTGTGCGTGTGTGTGTTCTGCTGCTTCCTGTTTTATATTTTTGGCCATAAATTCAAGCCAGTTTGGCTGACAGGAGTGAAAGGGGGAGGGGGTAGGTGTAATGGGCGTTGGGCTGGCAAAAGGACACTAAAATCATCATCATCATCAGTGCGGCAGAGCGGCCGAAACGGGAGAAATGGGAGAAAGCAGCCGTAGCTTGTGCTATTTTTAAACCAACGCTCCAAACACACTCGCACACAGACACACGCAGGCGCATAAATAGCACACACAAATGGCCGCAAACGGGCACACACACACTCACACACAAACGAAGAACAAACAAACAAACAGGCGGCACTCACACAAACGCACTTTGTGCGTGGGCCAGCCTCAATGTTCGCATTAATGTCACTCATACGCACAGTTTCACATGCAAACAAACAATAACAACAACACTAGCGACAACAACAACAACAACGAGCAGGCAACATCAACGTCAACTGGTGTGCTGGTCAACGATTTAATTAAATTCAGCCCCATTCCCCAAAGATCCCCAGTTGGTCTGGTGGCATTTTAAAATAGCCAAACACCCGTTCATATATCCTTACACACACTCGCATACATATACACCCACGCAGGATATGCGGTCTATATTTACTTATTCACAGCCTGGTCGCCCATATGCGACACATTTCGCGTTGATGTTGCGGTTGCCATTTTAGTTTTCAAACTCCCCTACCACCTCCTGCAAAGGACATCCTTCTAGGACCTATTGATTTTGTGTGTTTAATCGAAAATGTAATTCATTTCACAAATTTGTTAAACAGTTTTGGTAGGAATTTTCGGGGGCTTTGGAAGTTTGCGGGGTGGTGACCAATGCACACACACGCATTCACATTTTGCGGCTAACACGGAATCTGAAACGTGTAACTAACACACCGAGAGCTCTCTATAAAGCGCATTGTATTTGGGCTAAGTGATATGGAATTCGCATGAGTGTGGGTGAAGTCACCTGCCTAATTTAATTAAATCTATTTTATGTTTTAGACTAAATATTTATGCTCAAATGATTACAACTTATGGACCAAGCAGGGACCGTAATTCATACACGTTTTAATTTATAAATAATTTCTGGATCATTTTTTTTATTATTTCATGTTTTTTATAAAATTTATTAGAAATTAATTATCTGTCCTTTAATAAATATTTTATATTTCAGCCTAACACGTTTATACTATTAGCCAATTTTTATAACGAATCCGAAGAATTCGCGGTTGCAATTAATTTTGAATACTTGAAACCAAAAAAGTTGAAAAGTAAACATTATTTTTCGACCAGTAAAGTAAGTGGCATACCGTAAATTATTCATAAAATAAAAACCATTACTGTACAAATTACACATTCCTAACATTTATGTTCTATCCTAAAGTAACTTCTCCAAAATCTAGTATTTCCATTCAATAGTGGTAGCTAATTTACATTTAAATTAAATAAATAGCTGTTCCAGAAAGTCAGCTTTTTAGACTTTCTGGCATTCTTTCAATTAGAAATTCAAATTTGACTTTGACAAAGCCCAACCAAAAGGCAATCGAAATGTTTGGCTCATAACCAAAACTGAAATCCTTCCTCGACAAATTCAACTGATTTTATTTTAGTTGATGCTGCATTGCCGTTGTTGTTTTTCCTATGTTGCTGTTGTGACTGATTGTTTTTTCTGGCAGTATTTCGATTTTTTGGCATTTGTCGGACTTATTTTTTGTACGCTATAAGCATTTTTCCGTATACTGGGTGCTAATCTATTTGCATTTTGCATTTAAATATTCAACTTTTTCGGCTGTCTAAGCATTTTGTTTGTGGTTTGAATGTTGTTCGTTGATCTGAGTGTGTGTGGCAGTTGTTGTTTTTTTTTTGGTTTTTTTTGTGGTTGTTGTAGCTGTTGTGGGTGCAATTCAAGAGAAGCTTCACTAACTGCAACTGACACTCACCTCAAAAACTCGTTTTCGTTTTACTGAATTTTATTTAGATTGGAATTTGTTCTTTTTATGTTATTTTTCCATATGTTGTTAATTTGCGAAGAATTATCTTTTATTTTTAGTTTACTGAGCCCTAAAAGTGTTGTTGTTATTTTGGAATTCCGTTTTAGGCCGTTGCCTAATTTGTGGTACAAATTGCTGGGCATGTTAGCCAACCACCCCGCGCACACAGACACCCATACACTGGGACTCAGGTGGCACCAAGGAGCACCACCCACCACCCACACCAGCATAAAGATTGCGTGGCAGTACAGTAAACAAATCGAGCGCTTTCTTTCTACCTTTCTAACCAACAGCAAAAATGGCAAAATAAAAAGAAAATAAATAAAACAATAATATTAAGTTGCTGCTGCCTCCGCTTTTTGTTTTTTTTTGCGATGGTGTGTGTGTGGGTTGGCGGGTGGGTGAGTGGGTGGTTGGGTGGCCTTTAGGCCCTCCAAGCGAGTGCCTTGGGTTCGGGGTCGTGGGTGGTGGGTGGGTGGCTGAGTGGCTCGGGTGGTTGGCCATATGCAAAAGCGTCCGTTGGGCGCCACAATTTGCGCAGTGTATTGTTAGTCGATTGACTGATTCGAGAGCAAATTTGTTTGCTTTTTTTTCGCCCTGGTTGTTGGGTACGCTTTCGCTCAATTAGGCAGATTTAAAGAGGTTTCAAGGTCGTGGTTACCTTATTTTTTGCATTAAACACTTTCACTTTGCTTGGAATATTTTTTGGTTTTAAATTTTTACACTTTTTTCGTGGATATTGGTTTTTAACTCCGGCTGCAGGCCAATTAGCCTTGGCTGCTGCTCAATGCCAAGTTGTCAATTATTCATGCTTCATGGCCAATTAAGTGCAATTCTTTATGTTTAACTGACGCCGCTCTCCCTTCACTTTCTCCGCTTTCTTCGCCCGACAGCCACATGTCAGGCCCTCTTTCGTCGAGCCTCCTTCTGCTCCTTTTTTGTATTTTCTTTTTTTTTTTATGGGGATTGTACAATTTCCCACCAAGGTTATTTTTAACTCGACATTCACATTTCACAGAGTTTGGCTTTCGTTTTCCGCCCGCTTCGCTTTCGATTTCACTCACTCGGGGGCACTTTTGCTCCTCTCACTCGTTTTTGGTTAGCGGGGATTTTCCGATTTTCCAGCAAACGTATTTTTGCCTATATATTATGGGTAGTAGAATATTTTTCCCCTTGCTTTTTCCATTTCCCTGCGACACACGTGCGAATTTTGCGAGAAGGACCGCTGCGGCTGTTTACTCGGCTTTAAAGTTCATCGAAAACTAATTTCGTTTCGATTTCATAAAAATCTCAATGGAATTTTCGCTTTACGCTGCCATTCGCTTTCCCTTGCGCCTACTCGCGTGCTCTCGCTCTCTCTCACTCTCTGTGGTTGTTGTTGCTTTTGTTGGAGCCTACAACGTTTCCAATAACAATGTTACACGGCGTCCAGTGGTTGTTGTTGCTGTTGCTGTAGGGACTTTCCCATGGCGCTTCCAGTGGCGAACTAAAAATAAAGTTAAGCGCGTGGCCAACACCGCAGTCGCTGCCTCAGTCGACGTAGCAGCCAGCAGCGATAACATTGACAGCTGCTGCTGTCACCCACCACCCCCTACTCACCCACCCACCCACTCACCGCCCACTTAAGGGTCAGCGGGTTTTTGCCTGCGTGTTTGCCACCTTCAAGGCGAATCTCTCGCAAAGTCAACGTGTTTGTCTTTGCCTTCCAGCCAGCGCAGGCGGTGGTTTTTGGTGGGTGGTAAGGCCACCGGTGGGCTGGTGGGTTGGCGGGTCAGTGGGTGGTGCCGCGCGTGCTGGATGCGGAAAAGCCAGGAACCAAACCAAAGCGCACTGCCAGTGAAAATGCAATCCGTAGTAAGGACCATGACGCTGCACAAAAAATACCCGAAACGAAGAGGAACACTGAATGAAATGACGTCGCTGCAAGGGAAACCCAAACTGGGAAGAGGAGTCCTCCACTCGATTTGCAGACGAAACCAGGAGGCGAAAAAAGGCATAAGTTTCTGACGTGACGCAGATCGAGGCGGTGTTATTAAAAAGAGTTTAAGAGTCCACAGACGGTGAATTCTCCCAGATTGAATTTTACAAACCAACTTCTATGGTTTAGAACATCATCTACTTATGAGAAATCGGTCTACGACTGTTTTTTAAAATGAATTTTCGAAAATATTAATTTTGAATATTCAATATTACCAAAACTAAGCTAGTAAACTGTTAAAAGTGTTAAATTATAACTATAGAGAACCTTTTTCGCACAGAAAGTAGACGCAAATATTACCAACAAATTAAGATTTAATTTTAACTTAAAGGATTTTTTTTTCGTTTAAATGTACAACATTTTGGGAATTATTTTACTTTTATATTTTATAACTCAAAATTAAAACAAAACAAATTAATCCTTAACTAATTTATTTTTTGGTCATAATAGATTCAGATCTGTCAAGTTCCCTCAATCGTGGGTAGAACTGAACTTTTTGTGGGTTTACGCGCGCTTCACGCCAACATCAGCTGCTCCTCTGCCCCGCCCACCCACTTGACCGCCCACCGCCCACCGCCATGGAAGTGGATGTAAAAACAAAGAGGGGTTAAAAGGGGGGGGGGAGGGAAAGCGCATGCGCCCTACTTCAACACGATGGTGTGTGGGAATTTTCCAAGCGAGTCTTTCGACGGGAAATTCCAACGCATGACGTCTGGCGCTACTCGGCGACTATTGTGAACTGGCCAGCAAAGTGGTGGGTTTTTGGTGGCACAACTGTGGTGGATTCTGAGTGCATCTGCACCGACAACACGAACCACATGGCATCCAACCAGACCACCACCCACCTACCACCGCCCACCCACTTTCACCCGTTTCCCCTGAGACTTTCACTTCGGTTTCGATTTCTTTATCACTTTGCTGCATTTTGGCATTTAATTTACGGGATGCAGACATAAGTTTGGCCACCTGGTTATCGGCGTGGTTGCACACGCCAGATCAGGTGGGTGGTGGGTGGTGGGTGGAGCTTTGGGTGGTTCGATGGGCCTGTTACATTTTTGTGCGCCTAATTTTATGCCCCACAAACACAAACTCTGGCTGAGGCCAAAGTTGAAATCAATAATTATTATATGCTAGTTTGTTGGGAAATTGAAAATGACAGAAGGAGTTGTGTGGGCGGGATGTGTGGGGGGTGGTGAGATGGGCGGTGCAAGTGCAACATGCTTGCCAGAAACTTGCGCGCTAATGTGCAGCAATAAAAAATTTAAATCACCAAGCGCCGCATGTTGCACTGCCACCGAAACAAACACTCAAAGAAAAAAAGTCCGTGTTTTTCATCAAAAAATAATCCTCTAAAAATTTAACTTTTTAAGTTTTTTTTTTAAATTATAAAGATTAAAATATTTTTAAAAGGCAACATTAAAACTTCGATGATTGCAGATTTGGAAAAATATTTTTCTGAGTGCATACCAAACTGTCGCCTGTCGAGGGGTTGGGAAAAGGGGTTGCGGGTGGAGGGATTTAAGGGTGGCAGAACTGCAGCAAGTGCCAACAAGAAACTTTCTAATTAGGATAATAAATTTGCCAGCATCGCACTTGACAACGTCGCCCGGCATCTCTCAAAACATGAAGAGCAGAAGGAAGCCGAAAGCCGAAAGCTTCAACCTTCGAGGAAATGCCACCCCCTTTTGGACGGAAAAACCCCCCGCCAGCAGCCAGCTCGACACCATCAGGCAAGTGCAGCTGCTTGGCCAACTTCTTGATGTTTTGTGGTGGCTGCCAAAAAGGAAAAGCTGCTCGGCCTGCTGCCTCCTTTTACCCTCTCTTCATTTTCATTTTCCTCATCCTCTTTTTCCTTTCCTTTCCCAGTTGGAAAATGTGTTTTCGGGTCAGCTGTGTGCAAGCTTCCTGCCTTCCCTGCACTGGCATATAATTTATGCTGATTGCATTTAACGGCCAGCGAAGGCAAAGTGAAAATATTCAGCGTCCAAGAGTGCGCACTTGTCTCGGTGGTGGCTCTTTTGGCCTCTCTCTGTAAACAATTTATTTTTATTTTCGTCGCTTCCGCGGCACCTTCTTGTGCGCTTTTACCGTTTTGCCCCCCCGAAGACCAGGCTTTTCCGCCACCCCTTTCGGATTTTCCTTTCCATTCGCTGGCTGTTGTCGAGCGCCGAGTCAAGTGCCCCCGAGATAAGCGCATCGAAATGTTTCCGCTACAAAACATTCCTCGCCATTCGCCTTTCGCTTTTTGCCCTAGCTTTTCCTCACTTTTCCCCGCTTTTCCCTTTAAAAATTGCACGTGTGTGTGGGTGGGTGAGCTCTCTATTTTTATAACCCCCGGCATGCAAGTTGCGTTCTTCCCTTTTGCGGGGAAAAGTGCTAGGGCTAAAAACTTTTCCAGTTTAACAGCTTAAACTTTCATTTTTGTGCAAAGCGCAAATTTAGGGGTTTCCTTATCCAGCTTAAAACGAACTTAGGGCCTTAAACTAACGCTTAATGCTAACTTACAAGATGAGTTTAATAGACATTGAAAAATGAAATATATATATACACCGATAAACGAAACACAGAAATATATGAGAGGCAAAACAGAACAGTTAAAAGACTTTTGAGTTGGTTTGGAAAAAACATCAAGTATTGAATCTCAAAAGACGAGTCAAAGGAAAAGAAAAAGACAACGCACCAATGTGAGACAAGAGAGTGCTACATTTTCGAAAGTTTGGTATTGTTATAAAGGATATATAGGATTCTTGTAGAGCGAGCGAGTCAAAGAGAGAGTTTACATTGAGAGATAGATAGTGAATTTGATATAGGAACATTTAAGTAGGATAGGGATTTCAAGGGCATTGCCTTGCGGGAGATACAGAGCGGAAAATATGGAAGCGATAGAGATTAGAGATATAGGGGATAGGTAGCTAGAGAGAGGCGGGGTATCTCACAGAAGGAGACAGAGATAGAGCAGAGATGGAGGAGGAGGGGGAAGACTTGATTGGGATGCAACAAATTGGACAAAACGTCTCAGCTCACCATCATAATCCGAGCCGGCGGTCACCGTGGCCACGCCCCCCGATCCCGCCGCCTGCGCCTGGGCGGCCAACAGCTGATGCTGGAACTCCTCCTCCGAGCTGCTGAAGGATCTCTGCTGCTGCGATGCGTACTGCGATCCGGCCAAAGCCCTCCGCTGCTGTTGCTGCTGCTGCTGCTGTTGCTGCTGGCTGTAGGCACTGGAGTCCATCGCATGACCTCCGCTGATGGTCAGGTTGCGGGTCAAAGGCGGCGGCTTCTGGTAGCCACCCATCTGCTGGCCATGTTGCTGCTGCATCTGCTGATGTTGCTGATGTTGCTGCGGCTGTTGGTGTATCTGCGCCTGGTAGGATTGCTGCACCTGCTGCTGCTGCTGCTGCCTGGCCGCAAATTGCTGCTGCTGCTGCTGCTGAGGATGTTGCTGCGGTGACTGGCGATGCTGCTGCGGCATTAGATGTTGCTGTTGCTGCTGATGTTGCTGGTGCTGATGCTGATGCTGAGATTGCTGCTGCTGTTGGTGCTGCGACTGCGACTGCGGCGGATGTTGCGGCTGCACCTGACTGGGATGCGCCAAGTGGGGATGCTGCCTCATCAGGCCATCCAGTTCACCCTGCAATAGAAGTAAGTATTTAGGTAAGTATTTTCCATATTTAATGTTTGATAAATAACCAAAATAACCTAAAAATAATAAATTATATTTGATTTTTAATAAAATATTTCATGTTTTTAGTTGCTAAGTAATAATGGAAATTGAAACTAGGTAACAAAATTTCTTGAAATATAGTAGTAGTATAATAGTAGTATAGTGAAGTTGTGACTAGTTAACTATCTTTGTAATGCATTAGTTATTACATTAGCAAAAGCAAATTTCAATAGATTGTCAAAGAAGTAATGGCCACCATTTTATTGTCATTGTAAGCTTTCTATTCTACTGAAAATAAATTTTATTAATGTCCCCAAAAAAAATGCTATTTCATCAAAGACCCCAAAAATAATGCTACTTAAAAATGTAATTCCAACAAGAGAGAACGCTATAGTCGGGTGCCCGACTATCAGATACCCGTTACTCAGCTAAAGGAATTTTTAAAATCGTATACAAGCGATTGTGGGCGTTAGAGGGGGCGTAGCACCCTTTTATAGTTTCCGAGATCTCAGCTTTCATACAGACAGACAGACGGACAGACGGACAGACAGACGGACAGACGGACAGACGGACATGGCTAGATCGGCTCGGCTAGTGATCCTGATCAAGAATATATATAGTTTATAGGGTCGGAAACGCTTCTTTCTACCTGTTACATACTTTTGCACGAATCTAATATACCCTTTTACTCTACGAGTAACGGGTATAAAAAGTAATGATAGTTAATAAATGATAGTGTATAAATGATAGTAACCTGATAGTATCGCGGATCATCGTCGGGATAGGCGCCTCCCGATCTCGACTGTTGCTGCTGCTGCATTCCGTAGCCCTGCTGCGCCTGCTGCGGATTCATCGGCTGCATCCGGGAGCGCTGCTGTTGCTGCTGCTGCTGCTGCTGCTGCTGCTGGTGGTGGTGCATCTGCTGCATCTGCTGGCCGGGACTCATCATGGGATCCATGCCGCTGTCGGAGGCCGAGAGGCGGCGGTTGGTGGGCTGCTCCTGCTGCGAGTACTGGCGCCTCAGCATGCTGCCCGCCCGCTGCATCGGCAGGTTCTCCTTCTCGGCGGCACTGCGAGTCCGCTCCAGCTTGGGCCGCTTGTCCGTGGTGTCGTGCGGATCCACGATGGGGTGCTGCGATATGTCCTGTCGGTTGAAGAATAAGGAACTTGGTAACGCTGCCCTGCGCCACAGTGGGCCACGTCATCTACTCACGCTGCTGCCATCCGGCTCGATGCGTCGGATGAAACCGTCTTGCTGGGCCGCCGTCTTGTTGATCCATTGGCCCGTCTTGGAGAGCAGCTCCTGCTTCTTGCGACACAGAATGCACACCCAAATGACCTGGTATTAAAAAGAAATATATTTAAAATTTAATAAATTTTACAATAAGAAATAACTCAATTTAAATAGTATTAAAATTTTCTAAGTGTAACTCCTGCAAATCTCCCTAGGTTCCCACCCATCCTTCACCTGTACGTCAAAGGATTGAAAGCAATCTAGTCTACCCAGGTGCTTCAATCATTCGAACACACATACGAAGTTCCGGCGCACTCCGGGGAATTTACACTAGAGCACTAGATAGAGCTTTCAAATTTGCGGCCATGGACGTGTTACTAAATCTGAGTGTCAGCAGCCTACAGTATCAACGGAATGAATTCGACGAGTGGGAGGGGGAGGATGAAGACGATGGCGATGGCGAGGATAATGAGTTGCTCTACTTCTTCACCCGATTGTACGACCTTCTGAGCGGAAATATCTTCTTCACCACCTACGTGGAGCGCGGGCGGAGTGAATACTTTGCGGGATTTAGCAACGTACAGCTGCTGGCTCCGTTCCAGGATGATCGACGGACGGAGCGGTACCGCTGGATCCACCTGTCGCTCTTCTTCCGCGCCTTCAGATCCACGACATTGTCCTGAGCAAGATACCTTGGCAGCCAAATTGGAATTCCATTTGGCATTTGTTCGGAGTTGTTGGCCCATCTCGTTTCATTTTGCGCCCTGGCATTCACTTCTTAACCCCCCAAAGCCCACGTCTCTGCCCTTTTCCGGGGCTCTATGTGTGTGTGTATGTGACATTTTGGCAGCGGTTCAACGGAAAAACGTTTGGCAGCACGGCCAGAAAATGATAAGCCTGGGCAGTGGACAAAAAAAAAAGGGGGAAAACAACCAAGGAAACGGTTCACTGAGTTAAATAAAAATTGAAAAAAGTGTAATTGAAATGCAATGCCTTGTGGAGGAACGGGGAGGGGGCGAAGGGAAGGTGGTGTGAATTCAAAGGAAAGAATGCGGAGGGGACTTTCTTCAATGCAAGCAAAAGATATCCTGCTATCAAGGTTACCGGTTAAGGTGCCCCGAAATACGTGGTAGATGTTAAATAAGCTATTACTATCCCAATATTACAGAAACAAGATAACGATTTTTAAATAAATTTGAAAGGGTAATAAAAATAGATTTATTTAAGCGTCTAAAACCCCTAATATTTCAGTAAAATTACCCTTGATCTAAACAATATTTCATATATATACATATCTCTGATATGAAAGATATTACGCATATTTATAATCTATTTCTGGCAAGCCAAGGGGTTTCGTCATCCTATATCCTTGACCAGAGGCAACGCTTGAAACTGGAAATTATTTCTAAATTATGAGTTTCAAATTGAGGGGCGCCGCAATGGAAAGTAGGGAGAGATAGTGGCTTGGCTCTTGGGAATGGGAAATATCCTCTACACACCACCCACTTCACACTACCCACAACCCACTCTTTCGCGCCCATCGCCAATTATCCTGGCCGATGGCGGTCTTCAAGGCGACAAAGGGCATTTATTCATGCGCTCCACGCGTCACTGGGGACAGTTGGCAACAAGCGATGTTGGCCTAAGGCGATGTCGATGTGGCAATGGGGCGTATGAGTGATGGCTGCTTAGTCAAGCGGCTGCCGGGTCGCCAGTAATATTGGCACCAGCGTTGTCCTATTTGTCAATGGGCGGAAAATGAGCTCGACACCCCTAGGAAAAAAAACGAGACTATTTTTCCGCTGTCACGCGCGTTTCGAGGAGTAGCTAAACCCGGCAAGGAGTGAATCCAAAGGAGCTGTCAGGTGGAATGGAATGGGATGTAGGACACTCGGCGGCTTTGGCCAACTCACCTTGTTGCTGCGGAGCGTCACCTTGCCGCCGCACCGGGCGCAGCAGCGGATGTTGCAGTAGTGGCAAATGTGGCCAACGCCGTCGGCGAACTTGGTCTTAAGGCATATGTGACAGGTGGCATCCAGCTCGACGCCGGCCTTCTTCTGCTGCTCGGAGCGCTGTCTGATTTGCATCTCCAGCGTGACCACTTCGTCCTGCTTGCGCCTGCAGAGGGATCAAGATGCGAAAGGCACATTAGAAGGAAATTTTAAAGGATTAGCATGCACAAATATGTTTATGGATAATCATAAATAAAAAGGGATAAATAATAAATTAATTAAAAAGTATTGGAAATTTAATTTAATTTTAATAAGCAATTAGATAATATTTTTCTTTGTGTGAATGATACTCCCGACTGTTTTAAATGACGACAACAAACGTGGATTTTTAAGCATATTAAATGAAACTTTATATCATTTATGTTTAATTTTATAAATATTCAAAATATTTATTTTGAGTTAATTTTTGAATATTTTATGCTTTATTCATAAATAAGCTGGGAGCGGAAACATTTATTTAGTAATTAGTATTTAACAACAAAGCTTTTAAGGAGAGAAGATACATTTAGAAAAAAAAATCTTCTTTTTTATTATTTAAATTGGTAGAATAGACCGATTTCTTAATTTTTTTCAATACAAGTGCCTATTAAATCCTTAAAACCACTTTTAAATGAAGGATATATTATATAACTGGCTCTCGAACTCACCGCATGACCTCGTTCTGCTTCTCCTCCTCCTGCTTCTGGCGCATAAGGACATTCTCGATCTGCATCCGCTCGTGGGGCGTGAGGTGCGACAGGTCGGGCATTTCGTCCATGGCTCCGGTCTATGTGTATGGATGTCCTTTGGTGGATTTGTGATCGAAGTTCTGGTCGAAGTTCGTTGACGTGTATCGGTACTTGACTAGCTCTAGCTGCTCTAATTAGTCGCAGTGTAGTAAACTTTGGTTGGTAATATTTATAGAAATTGTTGATTTACGTTTTCGATTGGATTTAAAGCTTTTCTTTTGGGGGATTTGATAAACTTTTCTCTTGTTTAGTTGCTTGGAATGCAGCTTAGCAATATTTATAAATACTTTGTTTTATTAAATATTATTATTAGTATTATTATTATTTGGATTACTAAACCATTTCTGATAGAAAATCACAGAGCAAATTTCAAAAATTTTTTATGGTTTTTTGTTTTTGTTATTTATTATTGGTAATGAACTTTTGTTAGATTTGTTTTGTAGACTTTTGGAAATTCGTTGAAAATTGTTCACAATGCAAACGTCGTCCTTTGTGTCCGTGTGTTGAATGTTTTATGTGTTTTATGCGCTCCGTATGCTTGTATTTGTGTTGCGGTCTGCTCCTGTGTTTCTGTGTGTGTGTGTCCGTGCCCTCTGACCCCTTTTCACTGGCGACTTTCTTATTGTGCACTGTTTTTGTGTGTGTTGCTTGCGTTTCCTTCCTCTTTGTTTAGACTTTTGTATTTCTTTGACTGAATGCAAATTTGAGTGGAAAATTCGTTTCTGGTTTTTGTTTCATTTTTCCACCGCTCTAAATCGTTGCCGGGCCTTTGTTGTTGTTTCTAATTGCTTTTGTTGTTGTTGCTGCTGCTGTTGTTGCTGCTGCTGCCTTTGCCCAGTTAGTTGTATCCTCTGCTGATGTTGTTGCTGTTTCCCAGTGCGTTGCAGTGCCATTTTTGCGTTAAGATCGTTCCGGATTCGCAGGCCACTCGTTTTAAATAGAGTTTATAGCCTCCAGTTGTTCAGCACTGCAATTGAAAGATACACGTTTGGAATTAGATTTACAAATTAAATAGGAACTCAAATTATTGATTTTATTTGCCATTTTATCGGTTTATATGTGTAAACTTTTCATTAATACTTATGTTTCTTAGAAATATTCCCTTTTTATTAAAAATACCTTTTCATGTTTGTAAATAAGTTAAAAAAATATTTTCAAAAGAATTCAATTAAGCTGAATGACTGAACCGCGCATAAATTACATATTTTAACCAATCCATTTTAAACTCAAATGGGGGCAAAACTCTTTCGTGCCAAGTGAAACATTTAATTAAGTCTCGTAAACCAAATGCAATGCGAAATTTAAAAACCAAACAAAAAGTAAGCCAGGAGGAAATGAGAATTTTAACGAGATGAACAGTGCGGGCAAAGCAGGCATAAGGGGTCGTCCTGGGGATGGCGGAGGACCAGGAGGTCCTGGGGTGGTCAGTATCTGGCCGCAATGCAAACATATGTAACTGTATTTATGGCCATCAACGTGCCAGGGCAAACAACCAGCCGCAAAACCAGGCGGGTCCCTTAGTGCGACGGAGATGGAGACGGAGGGCGATGAGGAGGATGCGGAAAGGAAGGGGCCACGGGGCACTGCGGTTGACACCGTGACGCACGTACAAAATGCGAAAATATATATGAGGCCATGCACACGTGCGCTGAGAAAAAAAAATAATACACATTTCGCAAGTATTTTTGGAAAGTAGTTTTGTAATATCCTTTGAAAAATTCATTTGAGTCTTAAATGTTGTGGAATATTTCTTATTTTATTTGTTTTTAATTTATTTCGGCTATACTATGAGTATTTTTACTAAATCACAAACTTTATTTTTGGAAATAAAATAAAATAAAAACAACATTTCCCCTATTTTCCAACATTTTCTAAAAAATAGTCACAACTAAATTCAATAAATCCCTGAAATGTTTTACTCAAAGTTATGGAGATTTCTAACTTACAGAGATTGAATTTTCAATGAATCACAACAATATAATATGATTTTTTAAAAAAAAAATTCAACAATTAATTTAATATTTCTAGACTATAAATTCAATAAATCCTTATTCTTTTCTCAGTGCACTCGCAAACACTCACGCATAAGAGGAGATTGCCTGGCCAGACGGAAGAGCAAAGGGGTGAAGGAAAGTGGGTGCGATGAGGGGCAGAGTCGGCTATTTATATATAGACAAGCCCGATGGAAGACTGCAGAGTGCAACCGGAAGTAGACACTTCACTGGCAGGGGAGCCAGAGATGCCTTCATGTGCCTCATTTCCTGCGGCTGAAAGGCGTTCAAAATTAGCATTCAATGGGCCAGGAAGCAATCCAAGCCTTCGTAATTAAAAGCCATCAAGTAGCTTGCGCAAAATAGAGTAAGGCAGATGGCCGGCAGATAGGCGGCTTAGCCAGGATATCGACCTCTAATCCCATTTGAAAGCCTGGTAAAGGATCAACTAAGGTAGGAGCAGCTGCACCTTCGCAGCATATTGCAGAAACACCACCAACAGCAGCAGCAGCTTTGATTGCATGAATATTGCAGCAGCAACAGCAGGTCAGAGATGTCCGACCTAAGTGGGCATTGGTTATGACCCTCGGACCACTGAGAACAATTTCCCACTCCCCAAACGAATAACTTTACTTTACGACACTTCGTCAACTTGTGCGACCCACTTTTAATCAATTCGAGTTGGGGAAACATTAAAATCCATGTCAAATCATCAACTACATGAAAAATGCGATTGATTTTTCTCATTGCTGGTTTAATGCGCATCCTTAGGGCATGCACACACACAAATTCGCATATTTACAGAGAGAGAAAGGGGGTGGTCAAAAAAACATACAAACTTTTTTTTAAATTAAAAAAAAAAAACACGGTAATTTGTAATCTAAAATAATTTGTACATTTTTAAAAGTGCACTGAAAGTGGTGACAGTTTTTCAACTAATGGAATATAATAAAAATACTAATTAATTGAATTAGTATAATTAAACTAACACCAAATGAAATATTAATCTAAAATGTAGGTACCTATTTTATTTGTTTTACATTAATTTAAAATTCAAAGCCGTTACTTCAACTATTTAATAACTTCACCAAAGTGTCTTCTATTTCTTCCTGTACAACTGCAGCCCCCTCTTGGCCTATAACTTATGTAGTTCAAGCGAGATAAAATCCAGCTTCCATGGTGTTTATGGGCCTGCTTTATGCTGCCATCCGCAGAGGTCCTCGGGCGATGGCGTGTATCTGGTATCTTGTATCTGGTGTACGGTATACGGTATACGGTGTCTTGTGTTTCAGCGGGAGCTCATGAATTGATAATGCAGCAGATGCAGCAGGGGCTGCAACAACAGCGCCAACGTGCCATGCAAAATTGATGGTTGCGTTGCCTGTTTGTTGGGGCTTAAGTGGCTGCTTTATGGGCGACACAGGAGGAGCAGGACACCCAGGGATGTCCTGGCAGGAACAAATTTAATGCCAGAAATCAATCTTGGGGCTCTTCAATCAATTGATTAAGAGCCTGTTTTCTTTTGGTCATGCTTCTCTGAAAGTTTCCTCAAATAAAGCCAAGAAAACCCAAAAATCAGCATATTAAATTAGAAAAGAGAGAGCGACTCAAGGAAGAGAGAGAGCGGTTAATATTTCACCACGAACTACGAACTCCTCTCAATGCGCGCGCTTTCGAGGGCGCTAACAATTTAACTGCTCGCCAGTGAGTGAATTTCCCACGAATTTCCCCCTGTGAATTTCCCAGCCACCTGCTTCGCAGTAGATAGAAATTTCATGCGCTGACCGCGCGAACTCAGCAACAACAGCAGCAGCAACAACAATAGCAATTACCAAAGGAACAAAAAGAAAAGCGCAGCAATAGAAAACCCCAAAGCATGGGGACAGAGGGAAAACTTATCAGGCACAAGGATGAATTATAATAATAATGAAAAATCCAGGGGTGCGGAGCGGGTGCCTGCTGCATTTCTTGTCCACTGGCCAAGGTTATCTCACATTACGCATACGCCCCGCGGGCCAAAGGGAGGGGAATGTGGAACGGGAAAGACTGCGGCTCACCAGCACATGGGAGTGAAATGTGAAAGTTCACTGCCAGCAAATGCAATGCTGCCCCTGCCCAGCTGATAATTGACACTTTCAATTAGCCATCGCAATCAGCAACAGAAGCGGCAAGGCAACAACAATGTGCCCAGCGGCGGGGAAACCTCATCGGAAATGCATTTGAAAAGCCTGAAAAAGAGCACGGAGCAGTCAGAGTGCAAAGCAACACAAGAAAGCCATCAAGCAAAAGGTCAAAATGCTAAATGGCTAACCGCAATCGCAATCGAAAACAATATGAATTATATATGTGGTTAAACATCTTTTAATTAAGGCAGCGAAGAGAGTTTTGGATATTTTTAAGCCAGAAAAAAAGGGATTTATGATGTTTGACTGAAAAAATCCATTAAGAACTGAAGGTTTTCTTGTCAAACAGAAAACAAAAAGTAATACAAATGTGTTGAACATATAACAACAATATTCAAAGGAAGGATAACATATAAAATATGTATTAATTATTTTATTACTATTTTTAATAAAAGAAAATACAAATAAAACAATGATGATGTTAACATGAATTAATATAAAAAAATCATATTTAATTTTAAAATTTTAACTGGAAAAGTTATTAACTGTGCAAGCAACTCCCTTCCGCAGAAAGCAAACAAGTTCTCCTTATTTTTCATGATTGCAATCGTTGTTATTCCAATTACTTAATTCCCGGAAAAACTACTCCCTCCATTAATTTAAAATTTTAATTTGACACCCGCGACTCTTTTCGTAGTTTTTCACCTATTTTTATCCACTAAAAAGGGCAAAGCTTCAACTGGTTGCTCGGTTAGGAACTGGGTCATTTATCAACTGACATCACCTGTCAACGGGGGGTTTCCTTATCGAGCTCCTTGTATATATAGGTATTGTTTGTCCCCGTGACGTCACGCCGCCCATGGAGATCGCTTGAAATTTATGCAGATAACTGAATTGGCGAGTGAAATTCTCATGGCGTCAGCCATTTTTCGTCGTCGGGTGCAATGGACTTTGGGAAAACTCGCCTGTACACACTTGTAGTGCTCGCAGGACACACGCACACACACTTGCACACTCACTTACTCACTCGAATAGAGCCATAAAAGAAAAGAAAACGTGGCCAAGTTGCCGTTTGTGCTGTTGCAGCCAAAAACTATAAACGAGGCAATGACTTGGTGACTTTTTGCGGTCGCCTGCCAAATGGGACGTCTTAGGGGCTTAGGGGTTTTCCCCGCCAGCCTGACTAATGACCAGTTTACATTCGTGGCTGGCCGGCTACTCGGTTGATTCATGGGCCTGAAGTTCCATAATTGCACTTATTCATTCATTCATAGTCGCCGCTCGGGCCAAACAACACAAGTCGTTGACCAGGCCGAAAGGGATATCTATGCCCTGATATTTGCCCGGAAAAGGGAAGCTGGAACAATGCCACTTTGTCGCTGGGCTTGTTCAACTTTTTCAATTGCGCGCACAATTTCCATGCAATTAACGGCAAACAAATACGAGCGACAAAAACTTGTCAAGGAGGCGGGGGAAACTGAAAATGAAACTGTTGGCCCAACAAAACATTCTGCAGAGAGGAGAAAAGTGGCCAAGGGGGCAACGAGCAACGACATCGAAGTATAAAAAGCAATTTCATGCACCCATTGACCCCCTCAAAAGGATGATAGGGGATGGGGGTGCAGTGTCAATGGATAGTTGTTTCAATGATGTCCAACCAGTACGCCCACTTGTATCCCACACAAAGCCCCATTTTACCAATTGTGGGCTGGCTGCCATTACTCATACGCCCCGTGTTCATTGTCAAACATTTATGACGTCCTTTGTGGCGAGTGTATGTTTCAGTGTGGGTGCTTGTGTCGTCATTACTATCATTTGTCTGTGGGGCAGAGGGCCCCCTCCTTATCCATTCGCTGTTGTTGCCTAGTGACGTTCGCCATTTGCCAACTGAATCGAGTCAAAAGGAAAATCGATTCCAACTGACTGCCTGTTGCTGTTTGCTACTAGTTTACCTTTTAATTAAATTTAAGGCCCATCGATGGGGAAAGCCAGCCAACCACCCACCATCCACCACCCACACAGCCATTTACTATTCATTATTGCCCAGTAAACAGAGCAGTAACGGCCACAAAGGAGAAGAACCGAGAGAACAGGGGCAAATTTGCCTTATATCTTGTGGCAATTTCTCGGCCATTGTTCGTCATTGTTTGTTTGGGGCAACTGTTGATGTTGTTGCTTCTCGATTCTCGATGGGGATAATCTTTGATTCACTGTAAACTGCTTAAATTCACCTACGTTTCACTTGACTTACATGCATTTCTCTATCAAGTTGTGGTGTAAACGGCGTTGTCTGCTTATTCGTTGTTTATTTTTCATGGTTTTTATTTCTTTGGTTTAATTTACTGTTGGTATCATCAATAGGAAAAGAGTTCTTGTTCTTTAGTTATATTTTGTTTTGCTATTTACAAGGCTTTCGGTCGATTTCCATATACTTAATAAACTTGAAAACTGACGGGTAGAAATATATTTGTTATATTATATGTACTTTTTATTGGTAAACACTTGAACGGCTCTCGTTATTTGTTGTTTCTCTAGCGAGCTTCGCCTGTCGTCTAAGTGTAAAGTTGAAGTTGAGTTGTAATTATGTTGCATGCTGCCTCTATTGTTGTAACACACTCACACACGCACACTTGGGAAATAATAGAGAGTGAGCGACAGAGAGAGAGAGCGAATGAGGGACTGCAGCTGCAGGAAATACTGGGATGTTATTTGGCCAATACTGGGTTTCCACTCACTCGACGGAGGCCAAAGGCCAACATGGGTTAGCCAAGTTAATCATACGCACTGTGGTACATAAAAAATATATTTATTTTCCTTTCGGTTATTTTTGAACGTATAAAACGAAGTAGAAATTTATTTTTATCTTAGTTATTTTGGCTATTTATTGTTTTGGTTAGCCTTCTTTATTGTTGATTGTGTGTGGTGAACTCTCTCTCTCTCTCATTCTCTCTTTTCACCCGCATTATTATTAACTTTAATTGAATTTAATTAATGTACTCCTCACAATTTTCAGTTAAATTATTATAAATGGGTTTGAAAATCTTCATCTGTCATTTGCCTAATGAAATTTTCCCTCTGGCTCAAGGATAAAGGACAACTGTTAACTGCTCTACTCTGGGTGCCTCTGTGTGTGTGTGGCTTTATTTTTCTGCATATTTAATGCGTTCATCCGCACCGAATCCTGGCCAAAAGGATCACGGCCAACACAACAAAGGAGCGCAGAGGCGAGAAGTCGACGAGCGAAGAGAGCGGAGAGAGGCGAGTTTTGGGTGGGATTGCGTGGCGTTGTGTGTACAGAAAAAAGCAACCAGCTCACGAACGGCGAAAAAAATAGAAAAAATAACGAATCGAGTTCTTGCCAGGGAATCCAGTGGAAAATTCAGCATTTTCTTACATTTTTATACACTTATTTTCTTTGGGTTTCGGTTGTAGCTGTTTTTTGGTTGTGGTCATTAGCTTAAATCACAATTGGTTTGCACTTAGATTTTATGTAGATTTGTGTGTGTATAACATATATTTATATATCTATATGTATATGTATGTACGGCTATATATCTATGTGTGCAGCATTCCATATGCGCAAATTAATTTTCCGTTTAGCGAACTCATTTTCTTTGTTTTTTTTTTGGTTTTTCCGTTGGTTTTAATTGTTGTTTTGCTGGCGGTTGTAAGCCTGATGTTTTGCTGGTGTGTTGCTGTTGCTGTACTGCTGCCTGCTGCACCAACAACAACTAGATGGAGTGCGGCGACAACAACAACGACGACAACGACAACGACGACGGATGCGACGACGGCAACGACATCACGACGGCACGACAACGACTGAAAACTGGACCCGCAGCTGGAGCTGAAAAAGGCTGAAAAGGCTGGCTAACGGTATATAGCCCACGATATGGCCCACCTACATCAGGAATTCGCTTCGATTGTCGTCAGCAGTTCAGGAATTTCTCTCTCGCCATCTCGCTATCCCCATTTATGAGAGACTCTCGCTCTCTTTCTCCCTCTCCCGTGGTGAATTGACCGGGGAGTTGTTAGCCAGGCAAGTGGGAGCACATGTTTCTCTCAGTGTTATGAGTGGCTTTTCATATTTCATGTGCAATTTTAACACCTACTACAAACTAACTGCTCTAATAAATGTTAGTGTGTGTGTGTGTGTGTTTCCGCCACCCGTTTCCAACTCCCCCCAAAATAACCGCCCCTTTTGGGAATTACATGCTCATATAGTTGTTTTGGGCAAACATTAAGCAACAACATCGTGTTGCATATTCATAAAATTCAACTCTTCATGTTCGTCGGGTGTTTTTGAGGGGCGTGTGTGTTTATGGAAATGTGTTGGTTCCTCCCCCCTGCTGTCGCCCAAAAGGGAAAAGAGAAAGAAAACAATTTTTCATTGCATTTGGGGATGGTGTTGTTGCTGCTGCAGAGGCAAATTGGAACGAATCACTTTTTATTGCATACTTTGAGGGGCAGCAAGGATTGAAAAGATTTCAAAGCTCAATCGGGTTTAAAAATGCAATCAACTTGCACAAGTGCATCGGGGATATTTGAATAAATATAGAAGATTATTTCCCAAGACAATTTATATTAAAAATCAATTTAATTTTTTGTTTACCTATTTCTTTATTTTCTTGGTTTCCGTATAAATCTCTTCAATAACTTGCTTGTAAGTATCTTTTGAAGTACTTCTTATTTTCATTCTAAAATCGGTCTTATTTGCAATCTTTGTTTTACATTACTTCAACATTTTAATGCATGATTTTCCCTCTTAAGTCCGTATAAATCAAATTTATTTTTGGATACACAACGTCTGACCTTAGCACATTACGTGCTTGTCAAAAATATCCAACACACAAAGCCTATAAAATTCGTTCACTTCTGTTGCATATTTTCGCAATTGGCTTGAGTTGTCGTTGCTGCTCTCGCTTTTATCTGCCAGCTTATCGCAGCCATCATGAGATTTGGCGTAAATTGTCAGAGCCACTCCAGCCAGCTCTGCCTTCCGTTCGAATCCGTCAGCCATTTTTAGCCCCAGTGCATTTCCTTTACTTGGGTTGCCCTCAGCAAAGCAAAGCAAGTGACTGAGAAAAATAATATAAATGGCGTTTGGCATTAAAAAAGGAAAACTAAATAATAATTAATATATTTTAGATAAAAAGGCATAAATATGTATTTTACCCATTAAAATATTTCATTTCATTTATAAGAAAAATAATACAAATGGCCTTTGAAATTAAAAAAGAAAAATTAAATAATAATTAACATATTTTAGACAAAAAGGTATAAATATGTATTTTACCCGTTAAAATATTTTATTTAATTTATTTAATATTTATTTTTTAAAAGAGTATAGGAAATCTAAAACTATTTACAGTTTTTTAAAGCAATTTGTTTCCTGTAAAGTACAACTTAAGTCTTAATATTCTCTAATTTAGTTGACATTTTCTCTCCGTGTAGGACAGCTGAAAGCAGAAAGATAAACGCGTTTCTGGCTGTCGAAACTCTTAGTCCATTGCTGATAGCCTGCTCACGTGCAGAGTCTTCGGCTCCGCATCACACGCACCCACACAGTCGCACTCACGCACATACGGGCGCACGAAGGGGAGCGATTGGACTTCCGGCGGAGATGAGAGAACCCTCCGTGGGCGGGGGGAGTGGCAGGCGGAGTCTGGGAGAGCCGGGAGCTGTGTTTGCCCACCAGCATTTTCCGATGTTGCCGCTTACAAAGTGTGCGTATGTTTGTGTGTCTCGACGGCTGACGTCATTGAGCTTTTTATTGATTTTCATTTTAACAGAAAACAAAAACAACAACTCTGGCAAGCAAAAGAAGAAATACTTGGGCTAGGACGAAGGGCAGGAAGGCCAACAGATGTCATCCAAGAAGCGACGACGAAGAGATCTCTAAAGGGGTTTTTAAATGTTCTTGTATTTTTTGGGGGTTCATGGCTAACATTATAATAAGACAAGCCACAATTTCCAATAATGAAATAAAATAGATAACTTCCATTGTTCAACTTGGAAGTAAATAAAATAGCTTCAAATACAAATGTGTACTCGTGTAATTTAATGTATTATTTGCATTTGCCCACACTGCGTAATCAGGCTGTTTATGTTAGAGTATACATATAAGCCCATGTATTTTGATTTTTCTATTATTGTTTGGCAAACAATCGTTATAGCTGATTTTGTTATTTTTGTTGCCTGTCGGAAGTTATCGGAAATTAGGACTATTTGCTTAGGAAATTAAGAAAGAGTAGGCTGTGGAAAAGACGTATTTAAATTGAAAGAAATTATAACTCAATTGTTTAAAATAAAAGGCAGGTAAAATCAAAAACCATTTAACGTGCTTGTAAATTTTCAACGTTTTTAGAGCAGAAAATAATGGAGGAGTACTCAGTGGAACGCGTCGAGAATAAGCGGACAGTGAACGGCCGCACGGAGTACTACCTAAAGTGGGAGGGCTATCCGGACAGCGAGAACACGTGGGAACCGGCGGAGAACCTTGACTGCCCGCTTTTGATAGCCAACTTCGAGGAGTCGCTGAAGAACCCAAAGAAGAAAGAGGCGAAGAAGCGCCTGTTCAGCGCCTCCTCCACACCCGTCAAACTGGAGGACGACACCGAGGAGCAGACTGCCTTCGATCGTGGTCTGGAGCCATCGAAGATACTGGGCGCCAGCAACTCGACTGGCCAGTTGATGTTCCTGATGCATTGGAAGGGCACCGATCAGGCGGACATGGTGCCCGCCCAGCTGGCCAACATCCGGTGTCCCCAGGTGGTCATAAAGTTCTACGAGGAGCGCCTCGTCTGGTACTCGGACAGTCCCGCCGGCAGCGTTAAACAGGAAAACATCGCCAAGCCCGAGAAGTTGGATGCCAACGAATAGTTGCGGTTGGCTGGCTTCTGGATTTAGTTATAAACAATCCTTACAAACAATCACGACATGTATAAATATTTGGTAGCTTAGCTTTTAAGCTATACGATCGATTAACTGAAGTTCATTCATACTTTACATATACTTTACATAATTTCGAATCCCTTGCTGACCTGTGTTAATTATACCCATAAACACATCCAAAAACTGTTTAAATCGGATCATTCATTTCAAAGTTATGAGCAATACAAGTTCTTGCTGCTTGCATATCTCCATCTCCCTCGCACTCCCTTTAGCTGAGTTACGGGTATCTGTTGGTCGATGCACTCGACTCTAACCTACTCTCTTCTTTATTATCTACATGTTTATATTACATCTACGTGAAAATTTACATCTAACCAATTCGCTGCAGGCGGCGAAATCAAAACATGGTGGACACAGCCAAGACATCAACCGGATGTGGCCAACTTTGTAGCTGGTTCAGCAACCACTTTACAAGTGTGACTTGCTTATATTTTAAAAAACCTGCGCAGCTTACAAAATCTACTTTCTCCCGCTCTCTTTGGGGAAATGTCAAAGTGACATGACAATGGAAAAGCTGTGTGTACGAGGAGAGCGAAAAACAAACAGATAAAGATAAAGCCACCCCCAAAAAGCCGCCCCTTGCCGTATCACACGGACCCCCAAACACACATGATAGCCGAACAACCCCCGAAAAAGCAAGGAAAAACTTTAGGAAAAATACCTGAATGAGATTATGATGGGCCTTGAAGGAAATGCAAGGACCGGGGAAAATTGGGAATTACTTGTAAGGAGGGTGGGGGTAAATTTTAAGGAGATGCACCACCCCCAAGCAGCCCTTAACAACAAATGTGTGTGGGCGCTCTCTCAGGACCTCCGTTCGTTCTCTCTCGACCGCTCTCTTTTGGATGCTTTTCCGCTCTGCGCGCAGCAATCTCAACGAGATGGGGCGAAAATCTCTAATAAGGATGCCCGATGATGAAAAATTCATGGCCTGGCATCGCACGCATCCTGCGCTGGCTCCTGAGTAAACGAAAACACTCCGACTCAGCCACACGCAGCGAACACAGGCCAGAGATATCTGTTGTAGTGAAAGACCCCTCATCTGAAAGGACACATCCGAATTGTGCAATAAATAAATCGCTGCATACCGCAGGGCGCAGCCAGATAGTTCCGAAGCCAAATCGAGAAATACCTCGAACGCGAGTGTTACCAGAAATTCATTGTTTCGAAAACCCAGCCAGTGATTGTATAATTTCCCCTGCTTTGCTATTTTTACGGGTGTGGGCGCCCAACGGCAGCGGCCAAGGAGATATATGTACATATCTTCCGGGTAATACGTATTAACCAAGCTCCGCCAGAGATAATCAGCGAAAATTCCCCAAGTTTATCCGACATGAAAGCCTAATTGACTTTAATAAATAATTTCGAGTTCGATTTGTTGTTGTTTGTGCGCCTACGGTTTTTTTCTCCGTGAAAGCGAATGCGGGCCCAAAGCGGAATCGGAAAAAGTTACTGAAATACAACGGGCAGCGAGAAAAAAGAAGGAATACATAGAGAACTTGCCGCTGCCGTTGCCGCCTGTAAAAGCAAAGAGAAAAGGGGGTGGAGAAGGAGCGTCGAGAAAGAGAAGGAGAAGGAAAGGAAGAAAGCGCGGAGAAGGTCGCGGAGTTGGGGAAAGGGGGCCCAAGGAGTAAGAGAAAGCAGCCATTACTGCGAAAGAGAGCCAAACCGAAAGACAGAGCCACAGAGAAAGTCCAAGAGTCACCGACGCAATTTTGTGGAACACAGTGGATGGAAAAATTATAAACAAAAATTAAGTTCCACAAAGAAAGCTGAAAAACAAGAAATGTTAAGAAATAAATAAAAAATAATATATATTCAAGAAATGTAACTTAAATAAAAAGAAAAAATCAAATCAACACATATCATTCAATATAAATTAATAAATATAAGCTGAGACAAGCAGCCAAATAATTCCAGTAGTTACCAAACATAAGAAGATATTATATTAATTAATAAAACAAACAAATGCGATAGCCATACATAACAGTAACAGCGCATTAAATCATCATAAAAAATATATCTACAAATAAATCTAAATAAGGAATAAAAAAGGAAATGTAGATCGTAAAAAAACTAAGGATTTTACCAAAGGAAACGTAAACATATCATGTAATACGCCTAAAAAGCTTGCTCAACCCTTTATCAAGCTCTTTTATCTTATCCAAAAATATAAACAAAACCAAATGAACTAGTCTAAAGAAAATTGTGCAAATTATCGCATACATATCAAAGCTCTTGCAAAGAGTAAATCCGTAGAATAAATCTAAAATATTAAATTTACAAAAATATTTAAAATTTAAATTGCGTAAGCAATAGCAATTTTTGTTAGAAGTTTTACATAGCTATTAAACAAATACTAAGAAAAAGATATATACACCATATCGCCACATATCTTTGAGGAACCCTCGCCAGATTAAATACCAAAAGTGAAAAACCAGTACGACTAGAAAACTTATCAATTATATATAGACTGCGTGTTTAAGACAGCTACGAAAAAACTTACTTTATTAAGAGGACCAATTTCATAAGACGAGAAGACTTAATTTAATTCCAGAAAGCGAAGCAGAAAACAAAGCATTGTTAAAAGGTAAGTTTTAATAATAATAAAACCATTAGCTTAATATTTTTTTAACTGCCAATAAAGGAGTGTGGAGTACTAAAGAGTGAAGTGTCACCTAAAACATTTTCGTACTCATACTTTTATTACTTGGCAGTAGTTTTGACGACTTTAATGCTAAAAGACTCCATCTGGTTTTCTATAAAAAATCTTATTGGTGAAATAAAATATTTTAGATATTGCAAAATGTAGGATATAAAATAATGTGGTTGCTTACATTTTTAATTGCAAAAATAAATTCGGAAATACTTTCTTGGTTTTAGAGAACTTCAGAAATATGCCCAATGCCAAAACAAGCGAGCTCTCCTAAAAGCAATCATAAACTTTTTGGTTAAAGCCTGTGAGCGAATAGGTAATCCATAAAACAGCCCAAAATAAAACCGTTCGAGGCCCCAACATTTTATGCGCCAATGGCTCTGGAGGGGATTCGCGTTTCCCCCGACTCTCCGGCATTGCGCTAAACCGTAATGAGCCTGTCGAAGTGAAATTTGTTGCTGCAGCGCCTAGGAGCATGCCACAAACATACCCGAACACTCACACACTCACACACGCACACCCAAACAAAATCAATAGGCGGGCATGTGTGCGTGTGCGGGTAAACAGCTAGAAAAATCAACCAACACTCAGGCAGGATGGGAAAAGCGAGGGGGAAATTTAGTCGACGTCGCCACGCGCGCTATTAAAATTTTCATTTTTATGATTATCGCCTGCGAAAATCCGCAACAATTGTGCTGGTTCACACGGTGCAAAAGGGACGAAGGACTAAGGATACACGGGACAGGACACCTACGATGACGAGGCAAGGAAAGGAGTGCGTGTATGCGTGTTTGTGCGACCGAGAAAATGTTTAACTTTGGCCGTAAAATTAAATTTAATTTTCAATTACCGCGCCCGGCAATCGTTTGTTTTTGGCCTTGCAAGAATTGCACCCCACGGCGGAATAACGAAGCGATTAAAAAATTCTCCAGCTCGCTGGCGGAGTTGGTCCACCTTTTGGCCATTGCCATTAGAGCGGTGGCCACTTTAAGGCCGCTCTCGCTGCAGCTGCCTCACTTTGGGGCATCAAAAATTCATCTCCAGCATCCAGAGCTCTCCATCAGCCAGCGACCAGCAGCAGCTGCTGGCTTTTCGCCTTTTCCCGCCTCATTTTCTCCGCACCTTCCTGCTTCTGGGTGTTCTTGGCCTTTCCTGCTGGCCAGTTCTGGCCAAAGTCCCCCCCCTAATGAGTGCAAAAATGAGCTTCGGGAAATGCTGAACGGCAGCAGCAACAAAGTAGTGCTGGGAAAATGAAAGGAAACTCTCCAGATAGCCTTGGCTATCATAATTACACTAAGCAACTCTTCTCAGTCAACTATGTAATAAATAGGCTGCTTGAAGTTGCCTTTTATAAAAAGAGGTGTAACTAAAGGCTTAATTGGGATGGTTTAAAGATCATAAATACCGCAGAAAACGCAGAAATAGGTAGGGGCTTAAAATCAATTTTAAAGAAGTCTAAAAGTATGCAGCAACATTTTTTAAGTCAGGAAGTCAGATAGATTCATTGCATACTTTTTGACACCAACTAAAATGATTTTAAATATTGATTTTAAAACAATAAAGAAATATGTAAAATCTTAATATAAATGTATAGTCAAGAAGTGCATGCTTTTTCTGCATTTACTGAATAAAAATACTCGAGTTAAAGTAATCTTGCTTACTTTTCGTTATGCGTTGCTTTTGGCCAAAGTTAAAGTAGCCAACGCAAGGCTTTTTTAGCCAGCGTAATGGCAGAGGAACTTTCCACCAAAGTGGGTGAAGGTAATTTTCCACGTAGTCGTGTCGACATTTCATGCAAATTGTTTTCGTTCTTTTTCGTGCAGATTCTCTGCGTTGTTCTCGTTCTGTTGCGTGAGCGTATTTTTTATGTTTATTTTTTTTGTGCTTTACTTAGTTAAAGTTTTGCAAAATAGAGTGGCGGGGTAGTAAAATCTTGGATAGGTGGACTTTAAGCGGTATCCGCGAAGTCGTCTACATTGTGTTGAGCTCAAAACTTGAGTGCATGGTTTATGGCATTTCTGAGCGCTCACGCAGGTCGATTGGCAAGCAGGTGATGTCATCAGCTGGGCTGCAAAAAGCGAGTTGAGGGAGGTTGTGTATAAGGTGCTTGTACCTACAGGTGGACAATCTAGCTTAATCGCTGGCTCCATGAATTAATCAAAATTCATGTGGCATACTCCCTTGAATACAACAAATGCAATTAGGCTGAGCTGTTTGCCGTGTGTTTGGCCCAGAGCAATCATTTAAATAGCCTACGTTTTAGCCACCTCGAAACGCCGCATGACATCCGCACAAATATATCATATGCGAGTGGGAAAAAAAGAACTTGGCTGGCATACGAAATTTGTGCTGCTTTCGTAATAATAAGCGGAAAAGCCGAGCAACCTTCGACCCTCACCCACCATTTTCCACGCTTCATTACATTAGATGACACGCCCCCTCGCCCACCGCCGCCCTCCCT